AGGTGGGTACATTCGGCACACTTACTACTAAGCCACGAAAATAGCTGGTCATCGTAAGTCAGTTTTTTAATGATGAAATTGGGCATTCTCCGGGTAGCGCCTCTCTTTGGTTGCAAAAAGAAAATACGCCAGACTCTCCCAGCGCTAGGGGAGAAAAGCCCGGTTTAGACAAAATAAGGTATTAAAAAACGGAATTTGAAATGTAGGTGGGGCGGTGGGGAACTTTATCGTGTGCCAGTTTCATGGCCCTAGATCAATACATTCAAGATCAAATGAGGTTAAACGTGATCAAATTTGCTATAGTGACTATTTTGCGTTTATACGCCCATAGCTCTAAGAGATACTGGCCCATTTTCCTATTTCTTCCTTTATACGACATTTGTAATGTTATGAGAATCTCTAGTTAATCTTACCATAAATTTGGCAGTGGCTTGCTAAGAGTAAGATGTCGCCGGCAGAGGCGGGGATCGGCCGACGCGGGAAACGTCATAGTCACATATTGTGTTTGCACCCTAATGGCTAATAGTTTAATTTTACCAGTTGATTTTCGTATTTATTTAAACATTAGATTGCCTGTATATTTTTAAGCCTTCACACAAAATTTGACACGAATCGATCATAATCAGCGGTAAGAAGCGCGGTGCAAAGATGGAACCGTCCTGCGCCGGCACAGTCTACCACTCAGGCGGCAACGGCCGGCGCCGGCCGCCGAGCCGCTCCGGCAGGAATGTTTGACTTTACACCGCTATAACTAGAAAAGTTGTGGACCGATTTACCTATTTCTTGCGCGGGAGGATTTGCAATTCGATTTTGGACAGATACTGAAAGTTTGACGCTAATATAATAATTATGGTGTGAGTTATTGGCGATAAACAGGTGGAGTTAGCGAAATCGGCCCCTTCCAACGCCCGTGCTACGTTGCACTACTTGTTGCTATATCATCCAAAGTTATCGTTGGCCCACTCTAATTTTCTCAGCACGTGTGCCTTACGTGTAGTGGAAGACAATATCTAAATTTGAGCAAAATCGAAGGGTACCCATTTTTCACAAATTACATTTTAAGAAATTAATTCAAAATAAAATAAATTCAAAATCACCAAAAAATGTAAAAATTGTCAAATTTTACTAGCATAACTCCTTATGTACCCGTTTCAGTTTGTTTGAAATTAATAGCTTCAAAAATGTTGAAGCTATAGATCTTTCAAGATTGCAATACACGTCCAATTCTGCTCAAAAAGCAGAAGTTTAGCGACTTGTATCTCTGTAGCCCGAGGGCATATGACAAAATCCTTTCACCCACAGAGGTTTTACCCAATAGCGAATAAGTACACCAACTTTGAATAAAATCGCAGAGGTGACCGATTTTGGCTGTCCCGGTTGACATGGAATGCCCCATTAACATTACGAGCCAACGACAAGTGCTCTAAATTTTTACATTTTGTTAAGAGACCATATTGACAAAAATTGGCGCTTGAGCTGAAATATCGTCTGCCAAAATTTCAAGCTAATTGGACAAAAATTGAAGAAATTATCGCCGAAAAGCAGGGTCTCATGGGGTCTGAAATGCATAGTAGGTAGATCAGTTGCGCGCAGCGTTCATTGAGACGTAGTCCGGAGTCGAGCGGCGCCCATTCCGCGAGTCCAGCTGACATCCTGAGCCAGCCAGCTGAAGCAGGATACGGCCTGAATAATGAGCTGAGCTGAGTTGAACAGCTGGGATGGATAGTAGTTATACACGGTGTAAGGACGACGCAGGATGAGCGTCGACGAACGCTGCCCTGTTCGCCGCTTCCACTGTTCGGGCGAGCTGCGACCCTGGCCCATGCGTGTACCGATGGAAGGCCGGGCGAGGTCGCAGCGCTGACGGCTGTGTTTGGATGCGTTTGTCGGGCCGATGTTTGGGGGAGAAAGCGATGGAGTAAATGTTGAGCCTTCCAAACTGCCCTGGCCCTTCCAGAATATCCGGAGCCTTCCAAACTACCCGGCTTGGGGGCACGCGGGTGGGCGGAGCCATGACAAGGGCTCGTCGGTATGTTCTTCGTAAACACCGGTCAAATGTGAACGCCAGCCGTGTGAATATCTTATTTTGATATCGAGTGATCCGCACGATAAGTCTTGCAAAGCGTGCCAGATGTTCTGCCTATAGGCAATATGTTGGCTCGACTCCGAACTAAAATCCAGAATGGAAGCATTTTCCTTAGGCACAGCTTGCAATGGGGGATGTCCCAGACTTCCGAGCCCCTATCATGCTGGTCTTAGGATGCTTTAGAGCGCGGCGCTTCATTGCGACAAGGACTAGATCCTTGTTGGAATTGCTCCTGTTCCGCTGATATCACGCAAAATCAAATATCAATCGAATGCTGTGACAAGGTACCCTCTATATTTAGCACGGCTTTGACGATTGGATTGTGCTCTCACGCCCCAATACCGTGAACTCTGCGCGCGGGTTCTGTCCCATCCGAACTCGCCGTCACCGACGTGAGATGTGACCCTGCTGACACGGCTCCGTGGCGCTGTATGGGCCGGTCGGTCCGAGGTGTGTGCGCCGTGAACCCGGCGGCCGGCGTGTGCCTCCCGCCCACCGGCCCGGTCGGTGTCTGCTGAGACGCTGGGGTCAGTGACCCCGCCTGGTGACCGCCCGACAGATACACAGCGACTGGCGACTGCGACACGACACTGCAGGGGCGATCGGTGATAGTCGGACGGACTGCATATGGGACGACTTGGGACGAGATGGGAAAGGATGGGATAGATTATAATAGAACAGGGCTGAATAGAATGCTGCCGCGCCAACCGTGGCCGGGCGATTTCGGCGGGCGCCCCGCCAGCCTGGGCCTCCCTGGCGCCTCTCTGTGGAAATCAGTGCGATTAGGGTCAACTCTGGGCTCCGTTTCAGTAGATCAGACTGAGGCTGTCCCGCGCTGCCGAGTGACGCCTGCCCGGAGTCGACTCGGCTCGGTCAGCCAGCTGAGCTGCCCGATGGCGCCCAGGCTCTCTGCGGGCAGCCCGCAGGGATCGGCTCGCCGTGTCCGGCACTGATTGTGTCCTCAGAACCGAGATCAGCCGGCCGGACAGCGCGCCGCCATGCCGCGTCGCTATGGCAACGCATAATCAGCGGCCGGCGGCCGATCCGGACGCGTTGTCATGGCGACGGGCGGCGCTCCCAGCTGGCCGCCGCCGCCGCCGGATGGCCGGAGTCTGGGGCGGGCGGCTGGCCGAGCTCGGAACACAAACAGGGAGGGAGGGGAGCCGGCCGGGCCGCGCTGTTGGCACGTGCCGGCCGTCCTGTCAAGTCGCAATGCGCCGCGTCAGGGCCCGCTGGCAGCGGCCGCCCCCTCCGAGCGGCGGGCCCGACCGACCCGTGTATTTCGGTCAGCCTGCCTGGCCGCCAGCCCGGTAGGAAATAGTTGCGCCCTGCGACACGACAGCCGGTGCGCTGCTATTGACGGCCCGGCCCGACACTGCGGATGGCGGACAGCTGAGCGCACCCGTCTGGCTTCCCAGACTGACACGAGGGGAAGGGTTTCCCTCGCCCCCATCCTGCTCCCCTCGGGCAACTGCATTGATGGCGGCCGATCGGGCCGATCGATTCTGAATCGATTCCCCGCGGGGATCTGCCAGGGATCTGCCATCTAATTGGGTGATCGATTTTTGTCGGTGCCTCGTGACTAATTTGTCTTGGCTCTCGTTACCGGGGCTTGTTACAGCCGGGCGCCGCTGTGCCGCTCGTTACCGCCATTCTGTCGTGAGCCGGCGGCCGGGCCGTGTCCGGCTTTCGAGGCTGTTTTGCGCCTCGGCGGCGGCGCGCCGGCCGCCCCGGGGCGTGGCCGGCACGACCAACGGGCACACATCCGTCATTATTTCTGGGTACGGCCGCCCTCGGGCCCAGTCGTGCGCCACTGCCTGGAGCCGGCCGACACGGCTTGGGTGTGTCGATAGTGTACCATAGTCGACTGCGACGGAGCTTTGCGGAGGTCCCGCCGGGTCCTTGGCGGCGTGGGCTTGGTAGGGAGGTCCCTGATCGACTACGGTACGGGAGCACGGCACCCTGACGGGTGGATGGATGGCGCGCCGCCGTTCAAACATCGCATATTTACCGGTCGACCGGGCCGGTTTGGTTAGCTGATACAGGGGCCGCCCCTATATCTATATCAGTGACTATCAGTAACTACTGCCGTAGACCGGACGTTGAACTGTGGAACTGGATACTGTCAACTGTGCCGTATGGCACTCAGTCTCCTGAGGAGACTGAAATATCTGCTGCCCTTTGGAGAGCCGGCCGCTCGGTCTCCTGGGGAACGCAATCTCATGGACTGACTGGCTGACTGAATACAGAGCTACACCATTAGCGCTATCTTATCGACCACTCCTGTCGCGGGAGGCATCGACCACCCTCCCCCCCTGCCCCCCACTCCACCTGTGAGCCCTGTGCGTGCGGCGCCGTCAGCAGGGATCGATCCCGCGCTGTCGGGTCGGTCTGCCGGGCGCGGCGGTGGGAGATATTTTTACCGGAGTGATCGATAACTCTCGTCCGGTGATGATGACATCTTTGGGGCCGGCCGGTCGACTGCGGGGCCTCGTGCCTCGTGTCGGATGCTACCGCCTGCCCGGAAAGCTTGCAAAGTCGGCTTTGCCTTAGAAGTTTAGGTAGTCGGTGTGTTCGTGTGTTGAGTTTGCATTCTGCCGTCGCGTGTTCCATATACCGATTTCACCTGGTAGTGGCTGCGGTGATGGTAACTATTCGGTTGGTTTTGTGTGGCGTGACTTGCTGTTTTGCCGGAGTATTTTCCTCCACGTCTTACCTGAGACTAGTCTTGGTTATAGTCCCAAACGTTGTACCCATTGTCAGCATCCACCCACTGACTAACCGTTATTCGCCTCACCACTCGTCTCTCACATTCCCCTGCTGGCTCTCATGTCTCCTGTCTGTGAACATGTCGTGACTCCCCACCACCCACCACCCACCCTCCGCTGACCATCTTCACTCGTGTCCCCTTCAGGAGGAACAAGCGCGGCGGGCTGTCGTCGGCAGTGGCCGCGGTCGCCGCCTCCAACAACCAGTCGGGCAGCGTGAGCTCCGGCATCGGCTCGTCATCCCCTCAGCCCAACGGCACCGAGGACAGGAAGCCCATCGCCATCTACGTGAAGAACCTGCCGGCACGCTCCAGCGGTGAGTGGGAGGATGTGGGAGAGGAGGAAGGAAGGAAGGAAGGAAGGAAGGAAGGAAGGAAGGACGGCTGAAGTGGGGTGGGAAGTGCACAGACGAACGGGATATGGTAGGCAGGTAGATGCAGGACTCGTGAAAAGACTGCAGGGTTTGCGAGGGGGTGAGGTGAGAATGATTGTGTTGGAACTTGGGCCACAGGAAGGCCGCTGTGGTGTTCGCGGAAGAGTTTGTTGCGTATACGAGTGCCGAAGTTTACGAATTAGCAATAATGCGTAGTAGACGGAAAATTGAAAACGGTTCTATTGAGGAGAAAAAAAAACTTTGTGCGTGGTTCAGTTCTGGCGGCGATTATACAAGGTAGAAATACCGGAGCGCTTCCGAAACCAGCGAAAGCACCGCAGGGACACAAAACGCTCGACGGCGAAATTGGCTTTCGGCGGCGTTGTTTTTCCCTGCATAAATTTGGATGATTAAGAGACTGCTGTGTTGTTTTTGTCGGTTTCTTTGCCTCTGGCGAGCTGGTCCTGTTTGCTCAGGGCGGAGGAGCGCGCCCTGGATGGAGACGATGCGGGCGGTAGAGGAGCGCTCTCAGTGGAGGAAGTGGCGAGCGGAGACGGAAGGACGGATGGTGGTTAGACACCGACGGTGGAGTGAGTTGGCGCGCGTGACCTGGTCGATGTCACGTACCGTAGGTCGTATCTGGCGGTACTTGGTGCCTTCCTCCTCGTACCGCTATCTGCGCTGTGCCACACACTTACACCGCAGTGTGGTGTCTTCCTGGCCCGGGGTGTTGCTGTGTGTGATCGTGGAGACTGACTGGGTACCACCGATCAGGTGCGAGTGTTCCGCTGTGATTGTCGACAGCAGTCGTGCTGGTATCGATCTATCACCAATGGCAACAGCAACGGGTTTTCCCTCGGAATATGTGATCAATCATCTGACGGAACCGCCTTGACCTCTTCCACCTTGCCAATTTCACGGCCAGTAGGTAATGTACGGAGACGTCGTCCTATCCTGTTGAGTTCCCTACAATACCATGCCGTACCGTACCGTACCGTACCGTACCGCGCTATATTGTGCTCCTCCATATGTTCCTAGCGCGGCCGGCGCCGGCGCCCGTCGAGCAGCCGGTCAGCTCCAGAAGACGGAACTGAGGCCGGCCGCGGGCGCTGGAGCGTACCGTATGGAGCTGACCGACCGGAACGCTCCCACTCGTCAGGCGATATTGGCTGGCCGAGCACATGAACCGGAATGACGTCCCGTCTCCGAGCGACAGAAACTGCGCCGAGCGGGAGGGGTAGAGCGGAGCGGACCTGAGAGACAGTCCGGTCGGAGACTGCCTGGAAGTCCACACGCCTGTCTACAAGTGTGTCTGTCTCCGTGTTGCGACTGCAGACTGCCAGCCGTGGGGTTGCGCTGCGGCTCTGTAGCCGGGTGACTAAGGAGCTGTCTGCGCTGGAGCTCTAGCCGTCTGGCTGCTGCTGCGCTGCCTTTCCCCGACCTGTGGGGACTGGCGGGCCGCAGCTGCCAGCCGGAGCGGAAAGTATGTCAGCTGGACGAAGCCATGGCGGCGCGGCGCGGCGGTGTGGTCGTGGTCGTGTGGCGCAGCTGCCGCGGCGCAGCGGAGGCCGCGGCCGGGGCCCGCCGTGCACTGTGCACTGACTACAGAGCCGTCCGCAGAGTGGTGCCGTGGCGGGGGCGGCCCGCGCCGCGGTCACACGGTCAGGGCGGGGCAGGTGGCGCGGCTCTGCGGGACACGTCAGCTCCGTGTACGGGCCGCCTCACCTGCCGGCGAGGTGACACACCGGGCGGCTGAGTCACCGTGTGCGGCGGGACGGGCGGTCAGCGGCGCGGCGCGGCGCGGCTCCATACCGACCAGTGGCCGGCGGCCGGTGGCGTGACCGGCGATCGATACCGGCCGACGGACGTCACCGCCGCCCCCTCCCCCTCCCCCCCCCAGCCCCGCCGCCGCTCGGCCAAGTAGGTCGTCGGCCCGACCGGCCGGCCGGTCGGCTGGACGGCCGGTGCCGCTGGCGCCGCCCGCAGCCGCCCTGCTAAATCCAGCCGGGCGGCGACGGCGATATTTTCAGGGCCGTTTGGCGGCGCGGGACCGGCGGGGGCGGGGGCGGCCTTGGAGCGGGCGGCCGCCGCCGGCGCGGCCCGGTCGGCTTCCTCTGAACACTGTCGGCGGGACGGGATCAGCGAGCTGCCCCGGCTCCCGACTGCGCTGCAGCCGGTGGGAAAGTTTCGCCGGCGGTCGAGCTCGGCGATTGCCGCACTCGAGGTACGGCGCAGCCAGTGAAAGCCGGGCAGCGGATCCGGCGCGGCTGAGCTCGGCTCGAAATGCCTGCAGAGCGGCGGCAAACACCTGCGCCTTTCGTCCCCACAAGGAGCCCGGGAAAAACTGTGCAGGGGAGAAAGTAAAACACCTTGAGTCGAAGGCTGTGTGTGGTGTCACAGTTGTTTGGTTTGCAGAAAGCTCGATGACGTTTGTACTGATTGGCTGTAGAAAGTCGATGGTTGTTATCGGCCCTGGTGAATTGCTGGAAATGTTTTTTTTCAGTTTTTCACATCAGTATTCGTGTCGATGTCGACCATTTCATAGAAGTCCAACGATCGATTGCTTGCAGCTCATTATTCCTTTGGCTGCGTATTACCCAATACGAAATGCGATGATGCTCCGTACCGTCCAGAAGAACTGTTCATTATCTGGTTTTGAGGCTATGCAATAGAGCCTTCCTGTGATGGCACTGTGACGCAAATCAGAGCTGCAGAAATGCAATGCCTTCAGGCGGATGCTGCCGGCGTCCGGCACCGGTGACTGTAGGGGGAGGGGGAGGACAGGCGCCGGGGGTGACGGGGAGGGTGGGGCGGGTCCGTCCAGACTGGATCACGGTCAGCACGGAGCGGTGACTCACCTCTGGGGCGGCTGTCAGGTCGGCCGGGACTACGCCCTTCGGCGGGGGCTCCACCGATGGATGGCTCAGAGGCGTTTGAGCACGATCGACGTGCAGCCTTTATGCGCTGTTATTGCCATCCGTCTCCTCGTTTTGGCGCCTCGCCCTAACCCCAGCCGCCGGCGCTGACGGTGCATTTTGTCGGTCACGGCCAGTGGTCATAGGTTCCCAGACTAGAGCTGCGCACTTGTGGTGGCCCCTGGGCCGGATCGGCCGACTCACGGCACACAGTTTGGTGGTACGCGGGAGGCTGGTCGGAACCAGTTATAACTGGTATGGAGACACTTAGTGGACTGAGCTTTGTGGGGTAAAAGTATGAAGGTGGAATGCGATGTCACTCATAAAATGCTCAAGGGTTCTGTGTTGATGAAGTATATCAGTCAATCCTAAATAAAAAAAAACTTCTCCACTCATTGACTTACCTTCATGAATCGCGTTAAATTAACACCATACGGCTGTGCTTCATAAACAATCAAGCATTGACCGCCATAGCATCAGTTTCAATAGGTATCTCGTGTCTTCGACTGGTCCTCCTCTGCACTGCCCCGATGACCAAACGCCGTGTGTCTGGCCGGATATGCGTCTGGCAGGCCGGACAGTGAGCAGTCCTCGCGATGCGCTGGACACGCGTGTTGACATGTGACTGTCCCCACACGGCGCAGGTATATCCTCCTTCCAGTGATGTTTCCTCCCTGTTTGTTGATCCGGCCGGTGCTCTAATGAAATCTGGTCCGGTAAGCCGGCGTAGAACGCACACGCGGGAGCACGTGAGATTGGTTCGGGGAGTATCTCTGATCAGTGATCAGCCGTGGCCGGGGAAGTCGGTCTTGCACGGCGCAGTCCGCGCGCCGCCAGCTGGCTCGCTGTGTGTCGTACGCCGGTGTATTGATTGGCTTCGGTCCGTGGCTTAGTGCACCTACTGATGGACTGTCGGAGGGAGCGATGCGCTGATCCGTACAGATGGACGGACGGGATGCTCGGGCGGATTGATGTCGACATAGCTGCGCGCTCCGGCTGATGCAAAAATGGCTATGAAGCGCAGTAATGGTGTTCACATTGCGTCGTCCCGAAGCACAAATCATCATCATGGTAGGTATTTGCGCATCCGTTCATAACACGAGCGAATGACTCACGATCCCAGTGCACTCCACTCCGCAATCCACATATAGATGGGGTACCTACTGCTGATGTCCCCCTTGCAAAGGATATTCGAGCTGCTCGCGGGGGTGACGTGCCAACCCGCTCACCGTCCAGCTCATGTGCCGGCGGCTCGGAGCTGCGGTCTGCAGTGAAATCCGCCCGCCCGGTCCGGGCCGCTCTGGAGCTCCGTCAGCGGCGGCGAAAGGCCGCGGCGTGATGTAAGTTGCATATCGCCGCTGGACTTCCCGACTGACGCGTGCCGGCGGGCCGCCGGACGCCTGGTTAATTCACCGGCAGAGCCCGTGCAGCGGACACACAGCGACCGCCGGCCGGCCGGCTGCATTGTTGATGGAATGCAGCGGCAGACAGCCGCCGCCTCCGCCGCCGCCGTCGGGGCGCCGCACGATTCAATACAGGAGCTAACCGGACTACGGGACGGCAGTCGATACGGCTACCGGCTGGAACACGCTCCGAACTGCGCCCGCCACGTGCCCAGTCTGGAACTGACGTGTCCCTCTACCCCTGTGGTAGATGACTCACCGGTCGACCTGCCGTGCTGCAACGTGCCACGCCTATTTCTGACACAGCAGTGCTATTGACTGTGTAATGTGGGCGGCGGGGTGGAGATCGGTGCCGCTGTTAGCGACCGTTAACGGATGGTCGCCCTCGAATGGTCTTCTTGCTGGGTAGCTAGACGTGTAGCTCTGAATCGCCGCCGCCGTCTTGCCTGGAGCCGCGGAGCTGCGGCCGATCTCTCAGCTGGCGGCGGCTCGGACCGAACCTACCGACCCGGGCCGGGACTGGGGAGCTGTTTCCGGCGCCGGGGCTGCAACGGGATCCGCTCCGGGCCGCTCCGGGCCGCTGCGGGTCCGGACGGGTCGCCGGGGGTCGCCCGGGACTGAAATAGTCGAGCTGTGACAGCCGATGGCCCTGCCGGGCTGACGGCAGTGACGGGCGGCTGTCAGAGAGGGGCGGGCAGCGTCGAGCGGGTGTCGGCTGATCGCGGGCGGGTGGCTGGTGGTGATATGCTGTCACTTGGGTGATTTACTGGGATTGGGTGGGGTCATTGCAATGTTTCTTGAATGAATGCGGCTGCTAGTTGAATGAGCATTTGAATGCTTTGTGTATTTTAGTAAACCTTGCTTTCTAGGTTGCCGCCCCACGTGTCAACTGTCTCCACCCCTCTGACACTCCCCTCCCTCTCTTCCGGCAGATACCTCACTGAAGGACGGCCTGTTCCACGAGTACAAGAAGCACGGGAAGGTCACCACGGTAAAAATAATCGGCCAGGGTGCCGAGCGCTACGCCATCGTTTGTTTCAAGAAGCCCGAGGACGCCGAAAAGGCGCTCAATGTGTCGCATGACAAGAGCTTCTTCGGCAGCAAGATCGAGGTCGCGCTCTACGATGGTTTTGAGGTGGACGACTCGGACCATAGGTGAGGGCCGGTGGGCTATTTGGGAGGGAGGGATAGTGGCTGTTTTGTGAGGGATGTGGGTGTGGAGATGGTGACTACAGCTTGTCGTAGTGTGGCTGAGTCAGTGTTGCGCTGCATCTAGTTTGCCGTCTGCACTGTTGGTTAGAGTTTCTGCCTAACTTGTCGAGCTCTTGTCCCGTCTCACCGGACTGTCAAGTTGGTGCCCCAGTCACCTGTTCGTACCCCCTATCTCAGCAGCCTGCTGTCCGCACCCCAGTCACTTGTGGTCCGTAGCCCAGCCACCTGTGGTCCGCACCTCAGGTAGTCCGTACATCAGTGACCCGTATCCGTACCCCAGTCACCTGTAGTCCGTACATCAGTGACCCGTATCCGTACCCCAGTCACCTGTAGTCTGTACCTCAGTGACCCGTATCCGTACCCCAGTCACCTGTAGTCTGTACCTCAGTGACCCGTAGTCCGTATCCGGGTCAGTCGTGAGTGCCCCGGTAGGTGCCGGACGGACTGCTACCGGCCGGACCTCGCACCCTTCAGTGATGGACGTCGTGCAGTCGCGCCGCACGGCTCCCGTACAGTGGCCTCCCGTTCCCCACGCCCGCCCGCCCGCGCCGCCTCGGTGCTCGGCCGGCGGCAGCACGCCACCCTGCCTCCCCGCCCCGTCTCCGACGTCATTTTTCACCAGATCCATTTATTCTGTTCCATTTCTGCGTCCGTTCTGACCGGCTGGGCGACAGCGCGGGCGGGCAGCCTTTCAGCCCGTCTTCCGCGAGCACTTTGTGTTAGGCCCCCGTTGCCCGCGCCACTATCACCAAGCGTTCGCCTCAGTTGGCTGTCAGCGGCCGAAACCACTCGCGTCGGCTCGTTTGTAGGGTAGGACGGCCCCTAAAAAACGCACCGACGGAGTGATAACGACGAGGTATATGGTCGGGATTAAGGATATGCAGGTTTGACGAATCTCGAAGTCGCATCTATTAAATAGGTGAGGGTGGGTGGGAAACTTCTCGCCCACTCTCTGCTCCACTCGCCGTCCGTCGCAGTCGACGACTGCCGTTCGCGCCTCTCGGCTCTCCTGCCAGCGGCGCGCCCGTTCCTACACTCCCCTTCGCACCACCCCTAGTCAGGGTCTGCCCCGCGTCTGTCGGCGGGGTGATTTATCTATCTCCGACCCCCGTCTCCCTTTGCTCCGGTCACGTTCAGTATGGGGTTTGTATGGCCATGTGGCCGTGAATGACTGGTAGAAAAGGTTGTGCATAGATTCCGGTGCTGTGATGGCACCGCACGCAAAGCACAGTGCCTCACGGAAAGTAGGAACGGTGCATTGTTAGGGTACTTTAAACGCACCTACCCCTACCTAAGAATCACGTGCTGTTCATGAGGCCTGTGAGCACGGGCGCCGATGACTTTTCTGCCGCTCCGTTCTGGCCTGCGGGATGACAACTTTGCATTGCCAGCGCATATGGGGACTCACATTTGGCAGCTGCTCGCACGGGTTACCGTGGGTGGGCAGGGTTCGCGAAAGTGTCGGCTGCCAGCTTGCCGCAGATTGCAGTGTCGCGACGCTTACTCGGAGTCTCGAGAGTGGGGAGCCGGCAGGCAGCGGCGTAGTCGGTGTAGTTGTGTCCGGGCATGATCTTGCATGCATTTTGTCTGTGCTTGCTCGATTCCTGCACTCAGAATACACTTTGAGAGCAGTTTGAATATAAAGACTCAATTGAGCGCTGAAAACCAGCCTCAAATGTGTCTGATTTTAAAACGGTTTCAGTAAGGCTTCCTAAGGGCTCATGTACCCGAATACTGGATTCAAGCGATACCGAAACTGGGGTTCGGACTGGAAACTGGTTTCATAGTAAGACTAATTTTTAAAAGCTTGACACCGAAAATAGGTACCGACTGAGCTCTGTTTCTGCGATCAATGGCGTTGCTCAGAAAATATTCTCAAAATGTGTGATCTGTTTTGAATCGGGGACATTAGCCCGAAACTGATCTCTGAGACCGAAAAAGGAGAAACTGTTTTCTCAGTGTGTGCGGATTGTTCGTTCGGTCTCGTCTGCCACCGTTGAGCCCAGTATTTCAGACATTGGACGAAAGAAGTTCATAGTCTGTCGATAGCTAGATGCCTGTCGAGTTGCAGAGCAGCCGATGCATGACGCAGACCGGGTGTGTATGTGTGTGTGTGTGGGGGGGGGGTGCGTGTGTGTGTGTGTGTGTGTGTGTGTGTGCGTATGTGTTAAGCGCAAAGTGGCCGAGGCGTCGGCAGCGGACCAGGTGTGTAGTGTAGACAGAGTGGCCGAGGCGTCGGCAGCGGACCAGGTGTGTAGTGTAGACAGAGTAGCCGAGGCGTCGGCAGCGGACCAGGTGTGTAGTGTAGACAGAGTGGTCGAGGCGTCGGCGCCGGACCGGATGTATGCGTATGCCGATTTGCAGAAATACGGAGGCGGCCACTTAGAAAATACTTTGAGACCTTTTCACAAAGAGACTCCTTGAGTGCTAAACCGAGCCTCCAAGGTGACTGGCTGAGATGTGTTTCTGCGGCAGCGTATGTCCATCAGGTTGCGTTCGGAAGCGCTTCTCGAAATGCGTGGTCTGTTTTGACAAGGGGCCTTATCCCATCTAACCAACCCCGCCACGTTGCCTCGTCAACAAGTGCTGCTTTATCTCGCTATTGAAGCGGCTCCCAGGCAGGTTCGTGTCAGGTTTCGTGGCAAGATGTTATATGCGATGACAATAGCGTGTCTGAACTACGCCTGCCAGACTCCGATCGAATCGCCGGCGTGACTAAATGGTCTGCGTTCCGTGTTGTACGGTACGGCGGTGAACACCTCCACGAGTGACCAGGTCGCCGGCGATCGACTCAGGCTCTGATGTCACTAAAATGCGCTTTAGTAAGCTAAGTGCCTACCGTGTTGCAGAGGGCCGAGGTGACGGCGGCGCACCTGGCGCCTGTAAGTTGCAGAGTAGCCGAGGCGTCGGCGGCAGGCCTGATGCGTGTGCATGGGTTGCAGATTAGCCGAGGCGCCGGTGGCGGACCCGATGTGTGCAGGGGTTACAGTGCAGCCCAGGCGTCGGCGGCGGGCCCGATGTATGTGCATGAGTTGCAGAGTAGCTGAGGCGTCGGCGGCGGTCCTGATGTAGGTACTTACGTGCAAGGGGTGTAGCGTAGCCGAGGCGTCAGTGGCGGACCTGATGCGTGTGCGTGAGTTGCAGAGTAGCCGAAGCGTCGGCGGCGGACCTGATGTATGTGCCGTTGCAGAGTAACCGAGGCGTCGGCGGCGGACCTGATGCATGTGTGTGAGTTGCAGAGTAGCCGAGGCGTCGGCGGCGGACCTCATGTACGTGCGAACATGGGTGGAGAATTGTTTTCAAAGTTGGTATGGCGCCAGTTGCTCGAAACAATACTATCGTGTTTTATTCTTATCAAACTGAAATCCTTAAATTTCGTAGCTGTTACCCTGAAAAGTTGGTATGGCATTGCCATACCATCTTTTAAGTTGGTGTGGCGCGTGCCATGCCTGCCATACCATATTCTCGACCCATGCCGGTGCAGATTTTACGGGGTGGCTGAGGCTATACGACGGCGGGCCTGATGTGTGTGCATGAGTAGCAGAGGGGCCGAGGCGTCGGCGGCGGACCTGATGCATGTGCATGAGTTGCAGAGTAGCCGAGGCGTCGGCGGCGGACCTGATGTATGTGCGTGATTTGCGGAGTGGCCGGGGCGTTGTCGGCGAACCTGATGTGTGTGCGTGGGTTGCAGAGTAGCCGAGGCGTCGGTGGCGGACCTGTTGTATGTGCAGTGCAGTGTATTGATGTCAACTACGGAAAAACGGAATACCGATACCAAACCAAGTACCAGCCTATGGTTCATTATACCATCAAAATACCGAACACATTAGGAATCAAATACCAAGTACCGAGTTGGTATCAGTATGGTATCGGTATACCGAAAAGTTGTATCCGAGGACATCTCTACTGCAGAGTAGCCGAGGCGTCGGCGGCGGACCTGATGCGTGTGCGTGCCGAGGCGTCGGCGGCGGACCTGATGTATGTGCGGTGCAGAGTAGGACGTCGACTACGGAAAATCGGAATACCGATACCAAACCAAGTACCAACCTAGGGTGCATTATACCAACAAAATACCGAACACATTAGGAATCAAATACCAAGTACCGAGTTGGTATCAGTATGGTATCGGTATACCGAAAGTTGTATCCGAGGACATCTCTACAGCAGAGTAGCCGAGGCGTCGGCGGCGGACCTGATGCGTGTGGGTGCCGAGGCGTCGGCGGCGGACCTGATGCATGTGCGGTGCAGAGTAGGACGTCGACTACGGAAAATCGGAATACCGATACCAAACCAAGTACCAACCTAGGGTGCATTATACCAACAAAATACCGAACACATTAGGAATCAATTAGCAAGTACCGAGTTGGTATCAGGATGGTATCGGTATACCGAAAAGTTATATCCGAGGACATCTCTACTGCAGAGTAGCCGAGGCGTCGGCGGCGGACCTGATGCCTGTGCGTGCCGAGGCGTCGGCGGCGGACCTGATGTATGTGCAGTGCCGAGTAGGACGTCGACTACGGAAAATCGGAATACCGATACCAAACCAAGTACCAACCTAGGGTGCATTATACCAACAAAATACCGAACACATTAGGAATCAAATACCAAGTACCGAGTTGGTATCAGTATGGTATCGGTATACCGAAAGTTGTATCCGAGGACATCTCTACAGCAGCGTAGCCGAGGCGTCGGCGGCGGACCTGATGCGTGTGGGTGCCGAGGCGTCGGCGGCGGACCTGATGCGTGTGGGTGCCGAGGCGTCGGCGGCGGACCTGATGTATGTGCGGCGCAGAGTAGGACGTCGACTACGGAAAGTCGGAATACCGATACCAAACCAAGTACCAACCTAGGGTGCATTATACCAACAAAATACCGAACACATTAGGAATCAATTAGCAAGTACCGAGTTGGTATCAGTATGGTATCGGTATACCGAAAAGTTATATCCGAGGACATCTCTACTGCAGAGTAGCCGAGGCGTCGGCGGCGGACCTGATGCATGTGCGTGCCGAGGCGTCGGCGGCGGACCTGATGTATGTGCGTGCCGAGGCGTCGGCGGCGGACCTGATGCATGTGCATGAGTATGTATGTGCGTGAGTTGCAGAGTAGCCGAGGCGTCGGCAGCGGGCCTGATGTATTTGCAGTGCGGAGTTGCCGGGGCGTCGGACGCATTGCAGTTGCAGAGTAGCCGAGGGGTCGGCGGCGGACCTGATGTGTGTGCATGAGTTGTAGGGTGGCCGGAACCAGGTGTTATGTGTGTATCGCGTCGCAGGTTGGGGTGCCGCGTTGCACGACCCTTCAAAGCGTGCCTACCAGGCTCCCCGGTTTCCTTTACGATTGCGTGTGCGCTTAATATGCCTCTGAATAGATGCGCGTCAGTCGCCGGGGAAACCATCCTCATGGTGGCGCCGCGTCAGTCGCCGGGCGACCATCCTCGTGGTGTCGCCGCCAAGGAACCGCACTCCGCTGTACGTACCCCCGAGCCGTGCTCGATACGCCTCACCTGCCGTGCCGGCGTTAGTATGCCTGACCATAGAATCCTTGTAGCCGTTGGTACTCCCCACAGCTTCCCTGCCTTCTCGCTCGCTCTCCGCTCCACTCGCCGGCGGCCATGTCGGCGTTAAGGAGTGCGTGATCGGATAATCCTCGTAGCCGTTGGCACTCCGCACGGATTCCTTAGCTCACTTCTCGCCCACTCTCTGCTCCACTCGCCGTCCGTCGCAGTCGACGACTGCCGTTCGCGCCTCTCGGCTCTCCTGCCAGCGGCGCGCCCGTTCCTACACTCCCCTTCGCACCACCCCTAGTCAGGGTCTGCCCCGCGTCTGTCGGCGGGGTGATTTATCTATCTCCGACCCCCGTCTCCCTTTGCTCCGGTCACGTTCAGTGGCGCCCGGGCAGGGTCCTAACCTTCCATAGCCGCGTCGCCGCTATGAGTTGATTGGCGCTGGGCCGGCCGGCCGGCGGCGCTCGCCGGCTCTGTGTGCGCGGCGGGGCCCACCAGTCGCCGGGGAGGCTGTCTCTGACGCGCCGCGTTCGCCGCAGGCTGTTCTCGCGTCAGTGTGAGACGAAGCTGGACGAGTACCACCCGAAGGCGACGCGCACCCTCTTCATCGGCAACCTGGACAAGGATGTGAAGCAGACGGAGCTGAGGAAGGCCTTCGAAAAGTTCGGCGAAATCATTGTGAGTACATGGATTGGGGAAGGACTTACGGGCTGAGGGGGTACTGGGTGTGCACTGTGCAGTAGATATGTGTCCAGGGCGTGGGCGAGCCAAACGGCATTTGAAGGTCGAGCTGGAATTAGGACGTAATATACAAGTCTTACTACCAATCAAGCTCCAGTGCGCCGCTCTTTGTAACTTGCTATGGGAAGCCTGTGAGGGAGAGGAAGGGGTATTGCTCTGGGAAGGGGGCGTATCCGCGGGTCAGTGGCTGGCGCCGTACTGCGGCAGCTCTGCCTCCCCTTCTCCCCTCTCGGACACAGCTGCCCGGGCGGCTGTGACGCAGCGGACTGTCCCGCCGGCTGTGGCGCCACCCACCCACCCACCCACCCTGCCCCTCCCCAGGGCCTGGTCTGGGCCGAACAGACCCGCAAGGGTCACCAGACAGATAGTGGGAAAGTGGGTGGGTAGAGGTCGAAAGGAAAACGCCCCGCACGTTGATACCTGCTGCTACAGGTATGGGACGGGGAGGGGCGGGGGACGAAGGCTCCGACGCGAACTGGCACGCTTCGTAAACAGGCTAAATCGGCTGACTGTCCAAACGAGGAAACGCGGTCGCATCACGAACTGAGCCGCTGCCGAGCTAATGCGAATGGCTTGTAATCAGACCAGCCGGCCCGGCCCGCGGCTGGCTGCAGATTACCGGTCGGCGGCGGGAGCGGTCTCCGCGGCCGACGTGACCTGGAGGTTTACCATCCTGTGTCTACTTTGGGCCGCCGTGTGTTTGGTTAACAAAGTCAGCAGGGCTCCGAGTCTCAGCAGCCGAGGAATGGAAATGATGTAAAACTCGTCGGTGGATGCGGAGAGGGCGCCGAGCTATTTAAACATTTCAACAGCTCGGCTAGCTGCGTAATTGTGTGCTGCTCTGATAACTTTGCTCCACACCGGTCGAGAAACGTGTGCGTACTAAAAGTTCACCAGCTCGTGTAAAACCCCCTCTTCCGAGAAACTTCCTCAATCGTAGCACCGAAGTTGTAACATCCACACACCCAACTCAACCAAACTTCCTCTCTTAGCGTTACGCACCTGCCCATACCCCTGACTCTGCCTCCTTTATATCACGACTAACGCTGTCTGCTCTATCTTCCCGCAGGAGGTGGACATCAAAAAGCAGCAGTCGGCGGCGCCGTTCGCGTTCCTCCAGTTCACCGACATCGAGTCGGTGGTGAAGGCCATGCGTGCCATGGACGGGGCCGAGCTGGGCGGCTGCGTGGTACGTACCGGCCTCGGCGAGGTGGGACCTCTGTGACTGGTGTGACTCTTTGACTGAGACGTATGTGACGTTGGCATGTTTCGGCGACTTTTAGCTCCTCTTGACCCTGTGTGCACTGTGTGTGTTTCTGTTGATTTTTTACGTTTTTGCTATAAATCCAATTCCTCAACTTCACATGTGTAACGACTTAACATATTTTCCCTTTATGTTCTTCGACATGCGCGTGACTCCTCGGGTCCCGGATGTAATCCTGGCCACCGGCCTTTACACTGCCAATTTAAACTCGCCATCGGCGACCCGGCTATCTCTCCAGTGGCCTGAGTTTGTCATTTGTCGGTCAGTCGCGATAGTGTTCGATAAACATTTACCACTGGGCGGAGTGGGGACTACCAGGCCGGAAACTGTGGCCAGCCAAAGCCGGGGGATACCACCGCCTATGTTTTTACTGACCTTCTACACTGTTCTTTTTGTTTCCAGTCTTTTCGGTCCTCCAATTCCCCGCTCACACTTTTTTTTTAGACTACGAACTGCATTTCACTGTACATCTCATCTGGACTATTTTTGTCTCGAACCCACCTCACTTCCTCTCGGTATCTGTTCCCATTTCCTGTCTGTCTTCCCTCCAGCAGTGCGTGTCTCCCGCCTCCGCCCCCTCCCCGTCCCAGCCGTGCTCTGGCCCGGACGGACCAGCAGTGTGCTCTGGCCCGGACCAGCAGTGCCGTCCAGGACGGGCACTGGCCGCACTGATTGGTACAGAGCCCGGGGGACCGGCGCCGGCCTGTCCACTAATGACCTGGGCCCAGGCACGCTCCCCAGGCGTGTCCCGGTCCGAGACTCGCTCCGAACAGACAGGGGGAGAGCTCGCGCCCCGCTGCCACCCGGATCTCCTCCGACGGAATCTCCCACGGGGTCAGACGTCCCTGTGGGGCGAACTGGGACAGAGTTAGGAGTTATCGATACATGTGTGGGCGTATTCCTCACTGACTACGTCTTGGGACTACGTCTTGTGTTTGAGCCTGACGCGTGGCCCCCGTAGTCCCGTGTTTCTCGCTCGTAGTCCTTTGGCTCTCACTCTGGTCCTGACTGTTATCTCTCTGCCGTCAGGCGAAGCTGGGCTTTGGCCGCTCGATGCCGACCAACTGCGTGTGGATTGACGGTGTGGCGGACGCCATCACCGACAAGTACCTGGCGCGGCAGTTCAGCAAGTTCGGCAGCGTCGTGGCGTGCGACATCAACCGCGCACGGGGACACGCGCTCGTCACATTTGAGTCGGTGAGTGGTGCGGTGATGAGTGGGACGAGGGAGCTAGTTTTTAATCCAGGATGTTCGAAGGATGGGTTAAACTCTAACTATACATCCGATGCTATGTGAATCGACTCCTTTTGATTGTAATAATCTGGGCGCAAAATGACCTTGTAGTCGGCGCGCCCTTAAGCCCCAATAAACCAACAAGATTGTAATAATCGTAAGGTCTTTGATAGAAAACGTGAATACGCATTCAAGCTGATCCACAGTTGCTTGTGATTCCTCAATCTGAGCTACCGACCTGACCTGATAGGACGTCTAACCTGACCTGTGACCTGTCTCGTCCCCAGGCGTCGCCGGCGCAGGTAGCCGTCATTGAAATGCGCGGCCGGGCGCTGGGCGGCAAGAAGCTGCAGATTGACTTTGCGTCGCGCGAGTGTCAGGACGCGTTCTTCGAGCACCTCAGCAAACAGCCTCTCAGGTGTGAAAGGTGCGCTGTCAGATCGGCTCGCTCGGCTAACGGGGGTTTTGTGGGGTGTCTGTTAGGTGTTTGTCGGGTGTTTTCTGGGTGTTTTCTAGGTGTTTTCTAGGTGTTTGTCACCCTGTGGCGAGCCTGGCTGCGAGTAGTTTGTTAGTATTCAGGTGATACGGACTTTTCGGTGATTGCTGTCGTTCGCCGGTTATCTTGTCTTGTTAACGAATGAATTGCTTTTCGTGCGCAGTTCACTTGCTTTCCGTGACCGATAGTGTTGTCCTTGAACTTCGATATCGGCGATTGGCGGGCACTTTCGCTGTACGGAGACCTTGGCGCTCCTAGTTTAGTGTGCGTCATTTGACAGCCGGTATCGACTGTGGAGTGGGTATGTTGTAGTCGGGGTCTGTCGGTCCCTGTGTCGCACGTTGTTGCGCGTTTGGCACACATCCGGCCGTGTGTGGCCGGTGTTTGGTGTACAATGTGTGACCGTGTTCCGCTCTCTGCCGCAGGGACCCGGGCGGGTACCGGTTCGTCAGTCGGTACGATCGCGGTCGGAGCTACCGCGGCGGCCGCTACGTGCGCCGCGGCGGCCGCTTCGACTACGACGAGTTCGCGCGCGACCCGGCCGCCGGTTACGACGACAGCTACGCCCAGGAGCTGCGCGAGTACTACTCTCAGCGGCACGGTGACCCCGAGTACCGGCGCGTGCAGCTGGAGAGCGGGCCGCCGTACTCTCCGGCGCGCCGGCGCAGCGCCGACCGCAGTCCGAGTGCCAGCCGCTCGGAGCGGCGCGCTCAGCTGCAGAGTGTGGTCACCGTCGGCCGGCCGGCGCGCACCGAGGACTCGCTGCCGCCCGGCTCTGGCGACGAGACGGGCGAGCGGCCGGCCAAGCGAGCGCGGACCTCTGAGCCGCGCGAGCCGACCGACCCGCGGCCGGCCGCCGGCGGCAAACGGGCCGCAGACTCTGACGGCGGAAAGCCGATCGAGGTGCACGTGACGGCGCGGCGCGGCTCGGACGCGCGCCGCTCCGACTCGCGGCGCGTCTCGGTGGACAGTGTGAAGGCCGACGAGCCGGCCGAGGAGCGCGTGACCCGAGAGATCCCCCTCGAGCCCGTCTCCAAGCGGCGCCGACGGTCCGCGGATGGCGACCCGCGGACCGCCCGCGCCGCCGCGCCGGCGTCGGCGGCGGCTGGCTCCGCCGACGACGACGGCCAGCCGGGCACGCCGCTGTACGACGAGGTGGACGAGCCGGCGGCGGCCGAGCCGCGCGGCCTGCCGCCCGCCGCCCGGCTGCAGCCCATGGTTCTACCTCTACCCAAGTTTGCTCAGCAGTTGATGACGGCCTCGCAGCAGGCCAAGGCGCTGGCCGTCTCCTCGCCGGTGGTGGCGCCGACGGCGAGCGTGTCGGCGCCGGCGCCTGTCAGCTGCGCGGGCCCGTCGGCGCCGCGCGCGTCCGGCGTGTCGGCGCTCACCTCGCCGCCGGCGCTCATGTCGCCGCCGCGCCGGCCGTCGGTCGAGAAGCGGCCGGAACCCAGTACAAAGATGTGCGGCCAGCAGTCGCCGCGCGGCTCCGACTCGTCGGAACCCTCGCCGCTGCAGTCGCCCTCGCTCGAGGATCAGATTCGCGCGCTGGACGAAAAGTATGAGAAGTGGTCGGGCTCGTCGCGCACGATCGGCTGCACCGTGTCGAGTGACTGTGTGGACCGGCTGAAGCGGCGGACGCTGGGTCTCGACCAGATCCGATCTCAGCCGTCGCGCATCATGCATTCGATGCTGGCCAAACGCTCGGTGTTTGACGAGGACTCGAAGCGTCTGGAGAACTTTGGTAAAAAGTACGAGCCGGAGCCGATGGACCCTGCCAAGGAGTCCGATCTGCGCACCAAGACGGTGGTGAGCGGCGCCGCGTGTCTCACCGGCACGCTCAGCGGAGTGATCTCAAAGCGGCCGGCCGTGCCCGCCGCCACCCCGGCCGCCTCTCTGCCGGCCGCGCCCCTGACCACCTCGGCCACCGCCACCGCCACGTCGGCGACGACGGTGCCGTCGGCGGCGGCGGCCACCGCGACGACGGCGTCGACCACACCTCCGCGGCCGCCGTCGCCGGCGCGGGTCCCGCCTCCGGTGCCGGTGTCGACGCGGCAGCCGCCGCCGCCGCTCACCATGCCCGTGGACGTGTCGCCGGCGGGCGCGGCGCGGACGGCGCCCGTGGCGCGGAGTTCGGCCGCGCTGCCGCCGCCGGCGCCCGGACCCTACTCGCCTGTCACCCCCGTGTCGGCGGCGTCACTGCCGCCGGCCGAGCCTCCGGCGCCGGCGCGGCGGCCCGACCCGGCGTCCCAGCTCCCCTCGCGGCCGGCGCCGGGCGTGGGCTCGCCGTGCTGGGAGCTGCCGGAGCCCGAGCTGGAGCAGACCGAGTCGCGGGACGGCGCCGGCGGCGTGCCGGAGCCCGAGGTGCCGGCCAGCCTGCCGACGCCGCCGTGCTCCATCACCGACCGGGCCAGTGTCGACAGCGTCAGCGACTGCACCGTCTCCAGCTCCACAGAGATCGGCGCCGACGAGAAGAAGCTGGCCGACTGCGCGTCGCCCAAGGCGGAGGACGTCGAGGAGGCGCCGCGGCCGGCCGAGCCGCCGCCGCCGCCCGCCGGCGACGGCGCGTCCACGGTGGCCGAGTCTGTCATTTCGAGCAGTTCGTCTCTGAGTCAGCAGGCGCCGCCGCCGCCGCCCCCGCCGGCAGCCGTGGACAAACCGGAGCCGGAGGAGAAGGAGCTGCTGAAGGAGCGCCTCCTCAGCGACACGGAGCTGCTGAAGGCGGTCATCCACCCCAAGGCGCCGCTGGAGGCCGTGGAGCGGATGGAGCAGGTGATGACCGTGAAGACGGAGCACGGCGTGCCGGAGGCGGTGACGGCGCGACTGGAGGCCGACCGGACGGCCGTGCCGCCGGAGCCGCCGGCGCTGGCCGCCGACCTACCACCGACACCAGCGCGGACCTCCAAAACGAAACAACGCGACCACTCGGCGGGCGAACGGCCGCGCTCCGACAGTGTCTCCTCCCGCGGCGACAAACGCGAGTCAAAGTCGCACCGGAGCGACCACCACCGGCGCGACCGCGGCTCGGAGCGCTCCAAAGACCGGGGCAAGGAGCGGCGACAGCGTGACGCGGCCAAGGACTCGTCCAAGGAGCCGTCGGCGCGCGACTCGCCACGAGAGCACGCCAAGGAATCCACAAAGGAGTCCGCCAAGGAGCCGGCGGCGAAGGAGGCGTCCTCTCACGCGTCCCACTCGTCCCATGCGTCTCACGCGTCGAGCGCCAGCAAGCGTCGTCTCAGCTCGTTAGAGGAGAGCGACGGCTCGGCGGACTCGAAACACTCGCGGCACCGGCACGAGCGGCGAGACGAGCGCCGGGAGGAGACGGCGCCGCAGAAGAAGCCGAAGCTCGCCTCGGTTTCGTCCACCATCTCGTCGTCGAGCGTCGAGCACGACGCGACGGCACGAGTCGAAAAGCCGCGGGAGCGACCGCTCGGCTCGTCGTCGTCGCACCGACACGACGATGAGAAGGCGGAACGCGAGCCGAAACGGCCGGCGGACGCCAAACGCGAGGAGGCGCGCGAGAGGCATGAGAAGCGTGAGGAGAAGTCAAAGTACAAATTACACAAGAAAGAGAACCACACGCCCGAGGAGAGGAAAGAGGAGGCGTCCGAGCGGACGAAGCCGAGCGAGCCCCACGCGCACAAGTCGAGCAGTGACGCGAAAAGGACATCAGACACACACGAAAGGTCAAAACACCGCGATAAAGGTTCGGCGGAAAAGAACCGGACAAAACCTGCCGGTCACGAGCGGAAGAAGGACAAACACTCGTCCAAGGACCGGCCCGAGCGGGAGCGAGAAAACGCCGACAAAGCCGCGAAGGATAGCAAACGGCCGGAGAAGTCTGCGAGGAAAGTCTCCAAACTGGTCTACAGCACTGACGCTGACAGTGATCACGAGGACAAACCTCGGAAAACCAAGGAGAAGGAGCACGAAAAACCGCAGCCCGCCTCGAGCAAGGACAAGAGCCGCAGCAAGGACCACCAGGACAAGCGGCGAGAAAAGAAACCGGCGGCCGAGCCGGCCAAGAGCGAGCCGACGGAGAGGCACCCGCCGCCCAAACTGCAGATCAAGATCGAGCCTGGTCTGGAGAGTGGGAAGGAGGACCACGCGTCTCGCTCAGAGTCGGAAAAGACCCCGCTCACCGCCGACAAGAAGTCGCCCCACCCAGCGTCTTCGGCCGGCGCCTCCAAGGAGAAGAGCAAGTCGAAGAAGAAGGCGCAGACCTTCGACAGCGACTCTGAGTCAGATTCCAACGACGACGAGCCGCCCAAGAAGAACATCTTCGACGTGGTTCTGGACGACGAGCCGCCGTTCTTCAGTATGTACGACAAGGTGAAGAGGCAGCGCGCCTGCCAGATCAAAAAGGTCGAGGAGCCCAAGACACCGGGCACGGGTGCGCCGGGCGAGCACCATCCTCCCAAGCGCAGCAGTCGGCCCAAGTCACAGAGTTCGCGCTCCAAGGATAAGAAGGGCAGCGGTCTCACATCTGCCAGTGACGAGAGCGACGCCGAGATGGAGCGGTTCCACCCCAAGAAGAAGCCGTTCGACACGTCTTCGGACGAGGAGGAGGCCATGCCGAAGAAGGCGCCGGTCGTCAAGGAGGAGCCCAAGTCGGACGAAGCGCCGGCGGCCAGCTACTCCAAGGCGAGTAAAAAGCCGCGCGACTCCAAGCCCAAGAGCGCTAAGCCGAGGCTGCTCGCGTCCGACATCTACAGCGACGAGAGCGATTCGTCCGGGCCGCCGGTGCTAGAGCCCTCTGTGGCCGTCCCAGAGGCGCCCAAAGAGGACGCCAAGGCGCACCGGCCCCGCGACAAGCGCGACAAGGCGCGTCCGAAGCCGCGAGAGCACGCCACCACGGACGTCAGCTCGGCAGAGGATGCCGCCGCGTTCAAGGTGAAGCGGGACGTGAAGCGCGAGCCGACGGAGCGGCGGCGCGCGCGCTCCGGCCACGCCGAGGAACGGCGGCGGGAGCGGCGCGAGAGCCAGAAAAAGGACGAGCGCATCGAAGCCATCTTCGGGCCGATGTCCGACTCTGACAACGCCACCAGTCCGGTGCCTCCTCTGTCGGCGCCGGCGGCGGCCGAGAAGCCGGCCCCTGCTGCGCCGACAGCCCCGTCTCCGGCGGCCAGCTCACCGCCGCCGGCGCCGGCGCCGTCACCGCCCGCGCTGACGGCTCCACCGACACCCGCGTCTGCCCCTGCGCCGGCGGCGGCGCCCGCGCCACCTTCGTCGCACGGGTTCGCGGCCGGCGCGTTCAAGAGCAAGCTGCAGGTGTCGGATATTTACGACTCGGACTCGGACGGCGCGGCGGCTCCGGTGGACCGGCCGAGAACGCCGGCGCTGCCCGCCGGCAAACCGCGCAGCGAGGAACGCAAGGAGCGGAGAAAACAGAAGGAGGCGAACCGGGCGGCCGCGAAACGAGACGCGGCGAAACCGGCGGCGGACGACGTGTCAGAGTCTCACCTTTCTCTCTCGCTTCCATCGCCGGCCGGACCGCCGAAACCTGCCGAGACGTCGCTAAAGTCCATCTTCGGCGACTTCGAGGACATCACTTCCGACGCGCCTTCCTCGGCGCCGGCGGAGGAGTCGCGAACCGTGCCGCCGTCGACGCCAGCCGCGCGTCCGACGCCGTCCTCGTCGTCGTCTGCCGCTGCCGACGACGTTTTCCGGTTCAGTGACGAGAGCTCGGACGCGTTCGGTCGGCCCCGCAAAGAGCGAAGTCGAACAAAGAAGAAGAAGAAGCGTGACAAAGACCGCGAGCGGCGGGACGTCGACCGGCGGCGCAGCGAGGATCTCGGCAAGGACGGCTCGCTGGCGGCGCTCTTCATCGATGTGCGCGGCTCGGACCACGAGCGGGCCAGTCCGCGCATCCTCAGCCCGGTCAACCGGCACGGCTGCAGTCCGCGACTGGCCAGCCCGCACGAACTTATCAGTCCCAAGACGCGCAAGTCACCCAAGCCGTGTCTGTCACCCAAACCGACGTACGTCTCTCCGCGAGCGGAGGCCGCTGCCCAGAAGCGAGCAGAGGAGCGGAGGAACAGCCTCGATCCGTTCGACCAGCTGCTGGAGTCCCGCTCGTTCAAGTCGCCGGGCCGCCACCCGCTGGGTCTGCCGCGCTCTCCGGCGGCGCTGAGCCCCGGCCGGGCGGCGCCGCCGTGCAGCTCGGCGTCCCTCTCCGCGGACGGAGAGGTCAGCCTGTCTGTACCCGTACCTGAGCCGGCGGCCTCCGAGGCGCCGGCGACCCCAGTCACGCCGCCGCTGTCGTCACGGCCGGAGCTGTCCGACTCGTCACGATCGGCGTCGACAACGACGACCTCGAAGGCGTCCGGCTCTCGGCCGGTGGTCGCTCCGCCGTCAGACGACGGAGTGGAGACCATCTCCCTGCCGAGCATGCCTCCCGTCTCGGTGAAGCTGGAGCCGTGGGCGTCACCCAAGCAGGAGCCGCTGCCCAGCCCGCCGGTGCCCGCAACGGCGGTCGTCAAGTCGGAGGATTCGGCCGCATCGTCGCGCGCGCCTTCGTTCCTCTCGGCGACGGTCTCGCAGCAGCTGAGGCCGGCGCCGCCCGCCGTGCCGCCGCCGCCGCCGTCACCGCCGGTCGAGGTGAAGTCGGAGAGCCCCACACCGGCCCAGAAGGAGCTGGAGAAGAAGTCGCGCGCCGTCATCTCGCAAGAGGAGACGGAGGACGCGGTGGCCGCCCTGCTCGGTCAGACGTTCAACTTCGGCTACGAGCCGACGCCGTCGGAGCTCGAGCCGGAGCCCGAGCTGGTGCTGACGGCCGACCCGGACGAGGCCGCCCAGGCGGTGCAGAGTCTCATCATTGGCAGCCCGGACAAGGAGGCGGTGTCTCCGGCCATCGAGCCCACCCACCACGAGCCACCGGCCGTCAAGGAGGAGGTGGAGCCGGACACCGAGCTGGTGCTGCCGCCGGCCGAGTCGCCGGCCACGCCGCCGCCGCCGCCGCCGACGGCCGCCTGCCAGCCGGTGGCCGAGTCCCCGCGCAGCGAACCAGAGCTGCAGATCGACGAGGACGACAAGTCTGGCGAGCTGGTGATCGATCACCCCGAGAGCGAGCCGGAGACGGAGCCGCACCGGGACAGCAAACTGCGGGTGGACGCGGAGGAGACGGCGTCGCGACCCAGAGTGAAGCCAGAGCCGGAGACGCCGGGCAATATCCCAGAGGTGTCCCGGAGGACGGAGCCCAGGCTGGAAACCAAGCCAGAGCGCGATGCGGCGCCGGTGTCTGTCGCGCCGTCCGTGTCTGCCTACGAGCCGCCGGCGACCAGCAAGCCGGGGCCGAGCGTCACGCTCAGAGAAACCACCGAGCCGAGACGGACGCCTGCACCGGCCGACTCCGTGCCGAAGATGGAGCCGGTGCCGCAGCACAAACCCGTCATCGTCCCCACCATGTCCCAGTTGCACAAGCCGCCCGTGGTCACCCCGCCGGCGCCGCAGAAGCCGGTGGTCGTGTCACAGAGCTCGCAGAAGCCCGTGGCCGTGTCTCTACCTCAGCAGAAGTCGGCGCCGGCGCCGGCCCTGCAAAAACACACCGTGCTCCCGCCGGCGGCGGCGCAGAAGTTTGTGCCGACGCCGCAGCCTCCGCAGAAGACAGTGGCAGCGCCTCCGCCTCCGCAGAGGCCAGTGACGGTAGCACAGGCTCTGCCCAAGCCGGTGATGCTGCTGCAGCCCTCTTCAAAGCCCGTGGCATCGGTACATCCCCCTGTGGCGGTGCCACAGGCTGTGACGAAGCCCGCGACGCTGACACAACCCCCGCAGAAGCTGGCGACGATGGCCCAGCCTCCGCACTCGGCTGCGACGCTGGCGCACGCTGCACAGAAGCCTGCGCCGATGCCGCAGCTGACGCAGAAGCCCGTCGTGTTGTCCCATCTGCCGCAGACGGCTGTGCCAGCGGCCGGCGTCCTGGCGCAGACCTCTCAGAAGCCTGTGCTGGTGCCGCAGAATACACTACCGACGACGCATCTTCCTCCGAAGCCGCTGCCGGTGCTGCAGCAACAACAGCTGAAATCACCGGCCGTTCCGCAGCAGCAACAGCCGAAACCAGCGGCTGCCGTGGCGCAGCCCCCGGCGGTCGCCACTGCGGCACATCCGACCGTGCCGAGGCAGGCTCCGACGCTGGCGCAGCAGCAGCAACACCAGAAGCCTGTTCCAGCGCCGCCGCAGCAGCACAAGCCTGTGGCAGCTCCCCAGCAGCAACCCAAACCGGAGCCGGTGCCTCAGCAGCAACAGAAGCCCGCGGCGGCGACTCCGCTGCAGAAGCCACAGCCGACCGCCGCGCCGCCGCACCCGAAGCCACAGTCGCCGACCCTACCGGCGGCGGTGGCGCGGCCGATCTCGGTGCTCACCTCGCTGCCGAGTCCCGTCGAGACGCCGGTCATCGTCAAATCTCCGGCGGCGACCGCGGCAGCCTCGTCACCGGTCCCGGTGGCCCCGCAGCCGCAGACTCCAACTCCGGCTCCGGCTCCGGCCGCCAGCCCGGAGGTCAAACCGGAGCCGCAGGCCGCTGCTTCTCCGGCCGCCGAGCCGGCTGAGAAGGCCGCCCCGTCACCGCCGGTTGCCGAGACCAAGACCCCGGCGCGTGCCGTGCGGACGCGGGCGCAGCGACCCAGCAGAGCCAAGGCGGCCGTGGCGGCCGCGGCGGCAGCCGCTGCCGCCGCCGCCGCCGAGCAGCAGGACTCGCCTACAACCACCCCGCCGACGAGGGCCGCCAGCCGGCGACCCCCGCGCGTCGCCAAGGGCAAGGCCGCCGCCGCCGCGGCAGCCGCTGCACTCATCGAGAAGGAAGCAGCCAAGGAGGACGCAGCTCCGCCGCCGCCGCCTCCCGCCCCTGCGGCGCCGGCCGCGCCGCCGCCATCCGCACCGCTGGCGCCGCCGCCGCCGCCCGAGCCGAAGAAGCCCGCGCGACGACCTGCGGCTACACCGCGCAACCGCAAGCGCGCCGCGGCGCCCAAGGGCGGTGCCAGCGATGTGTACGAGTTCCACGACTCGGGTGACGACGACAGCGGAAGGAAGGCGACCACCAAGGCGGCCGCCGCCGAGGAGAAACGCTCCAGCATCGACGAAACCATCGAGGACGTCGTCCAGGGCCGATTCGGTGACCCCAAGGACTGGGACGCGGACGTGGAGCCGCGGAACCCCACCCCGGAGCCGCCGGCGCCCACTCCCGCCGAGTCTGCCGCACCCACAGCGGCGGCCGCCACCGCCACACCACCACCAGCGGCGGCACCGGCGGCGGAGGACACGCCAGCGCCCGACACCAAGTCGCCGCCGGCACCAGAGGCGTCCGAGTCTACCTCTCCGGAGACGCAGGCGCTGCTGGACCCTGTCACCGGCCTGATGGTGCCTCTGAAGGAGGGTGAGGCCGCCGAGGAGCCGGCGCGCAGCTCGCCGCCAGCCGCAGCGCCCGCCCCGACCCCCGCGCCGCCGCCGCAGCCGGTCTCGGCCGCTGCTGCGGTCCGACCGACCGGCCCTGTGGCGCCCGTGCGGCCGGCGCTCTACCAGGCCACCGCCGCTCCCGTGGCGCCGACTCCGACCGCCACCCCGGCGAGACCGGCGGCGCCGGTGGGCTACCAGCACAGTCGGCCGCAGCTGCCTGCGGGCACGGTCGGCTCGCTCTACTCCCCGCGGCCGGCCGCGCCGCCGGCGACCGTCGTGTCGTCCGCGCCGCCGGCGGCCGCCACCTACCTCGGCAAACCGGCCTACATGGCGGCCAAGTCAGCGCCTACCACGCCGTCCGTCTCCGTGTTCCCAGTGAAGACGTCAGCGGCCAGCGCCGGCGCGGCTCCGCCGTCTGCCAAGCCGGCCACCACCAGCGGAGCAGCCTCCCTGTATCAGGTGAAGCCGCCGGCGGCGGTGGGTGGAGCGGTGTTGTACCCGGTGAAGGCAGTGCCGGGGGCAGCCGGTATGACCGTCCCGCCGGCGGCCGGGTCACCGCGCGCGGCGCACCAGCCGGCCGCCTCCAGCGCTGCACCCTCCCCGGTCACCGCCGCCGCTGCTGCTGCGTACCCCGCCAAGGTACCGGCCAGCGTCGGCGTGCCGCCAGCGTCCTACGCGGCCAAACCGACCATCTCCGCGCCGCCCGCTGGATTCTACGCGTCGGCGAGCAAACCTGCGCCGGTGAGCGCGGCCGGTCAGCCGCTGTACGGCGCCGCCCGGCCGGCGGCCAGCTCCCCGGCGCCGCCGGCCGTCTACGGCGCGCCGCGGCCCGCCTCGCCGGCGCTGTTCCAGGCCAAGCCGTCCCCGCCGGCGCCTGTCCCAGCGGCGCACTCCACCAAGCCGGCGGCCAGCTGCGGACCGGCTACTGTCTCCACCGCTGCCGGTCCCATCTACGCGGGCAAGGCTGTCGTCAGCTCGGCGGCGTCTCTCTACACGGCTGTCTGTACCGCCGGCGCCACCCCGCTCGTTACCAAACCGGTGTCGGCGGCGACGACCGGCTACTCGACCAAGCCGACGGCGGCCGCTGTCACGCGAGCCTCGGTGGTGGAGGGGCCGCGGCCGCGCGCGCCGGCCGTGCTGCCCGACCCGCGCCGACTGCCGGCCATGTCACCGGCCGACCAGGCTCTCTACATGGTACGTGACGGGATCGGGGCAATGGATTCAGTCTGGTGAATTATAATGCTGTGTGGGATGTTTCCCCAGCGTCTCCCTATTTGCTTTAATTCTTGATGATATTGGTCGTGGTGAAACTTTGCGGGAAACGTGTATTGATAATTTTTCATACATCTGTATATGTATGGCCCGTCACTAACCATTCCCGTCTCTCTTCTATCTCTTGCAGCGCGCCGCACCGCCGAGCTCTGCGCCGTCGACCCCTGCGCACCTGTCATCCACGCCGCAGCAGGCGCCGGTGGCTCTGACCACGCGCGACCACGCGGCGCCGGCCTCGTCTCCGCTGCCGGAGCCGCCGCGCGTGGAGGTATCGGGCCGCGCCTCTGTGGGCGCTGTCAGTACTCCCAGTCCGGCCAGCCAGGGGCGGCACAGCGTGTCCTCGCCCGCGCCGCGGCCCTTCGAACCGAACATGGTGAGTTATACTTTCCGTAAATTGAGGTGTTGATGTAACGAAAGCTGCCCCTTTTTGAATAATGTCGCTCGTTTTACCAGTTTTCTGACATCAATAATATGTCTTATCTAAAGCACCCACCTCTAAACGGTCATCTCACCATTTTCTTCGAGGATTGCGCCTGACCGGGCTGTCCGCTCCCCCTTACGCTTACTTCCCTTCTTATCTGACCGCGCCTTCTCCGTCCGACAGCACCCGGTGCGGCACGGCGTCATCCAGGAGCTCAAAGGTTACCCGGAGGACGCCGGCAGCAGCAGCACCCCGCCGCCGGCCCACCAGCTGCAGCGCGGCGTCTCGCAGGTACGCGCCCGGCGGATGTGGGCCAGGAAGAGATGAGGGAGAGCGAGAGGCTAGGGTGGTGGGCTAGGGGGCGTAGGTTGGTTCCAGTAGAGGTGTGCTGTATTTGGAAATGGTTCGTTGGTGACGTTGCCGTTCTTTCAACGTCAGTTTTAAAGTTTGTGTTCAGAGTGGGCTGCTTTAGGCGTGAATTTCATGATATGATACTGATAGAGTATTTGGAAGTCGATGTCCTTGCGGCTGTGCCTTGACCGTGCCTTCCATCCCCTCTGTGCCCGCAGAGCGAGATGCTGCGCCGCTCGGCGGGCCTGCTGCAGCCGCACCTGGCCTCGCCCGGTCCGCCGGAGCTGTCTGCCGCCGCCCACTACTTGCCGCAGATGTACCACCCGGCCTACTACATGCAGCAGCTGCACGAGCAGATGGCCCTGCAACAGCAGCAGCAGCAGCAGCAGCAGCGGGCGGCGGCCGGCGCCCTGCCACCCCAGCTGGGCGGCTACCCGGCCCACCTGCCACCCAAAAAGGAGGAGGACGAGGGGCGCGCCACGCCGGCGGCGCCCGGCGCCGACCAGTACGGCGTCTCGGCGCCCTGGATGGCCGGCTACCACGACCAGCCGGCGGCGCCCTTCAGCCTCGAGTCGCCCTGCAGTCGAGACATCGTCGAACTGCAGAGGTGCGTGCAGAGTGGGTCAGGCAATGTGGGCTGATGTTGGGGCTTGATTACGTCTTCATTTAGGCTTCTGTTTGTATGTGTATCACGCTTGAATCTTGGCATTGGCGGCTGCTTTACCATCTTCAGCTGTTTGTAAAATTTCATGACAACTTAAGTTTACGCCACCCGATATTGTGCGCCAGCCTATGGACCCCTCTCCTGCGACATGTCTCTAACTCCCCCTGTCCCCGCGCTCAGGTACCGTTCGGTGTGGTCGGGCCAGCTGGAGCTCAAGTCGGACCGGGCTCTGGTCCAGTTCCGGCTGGTCTCCGGCAGCCGACAGGTGGCCGACGCCTCCCTGCCGCCGGCCGAGCCGCGCGTACTGCACATACCCAAACGGATGCGCCTCGAGTGGGCCCAGCTGGACGGCGTGGCGCGGAAAATGGAGGTCAGTAGACAGCGGGACGTAAACTTTTGGCTGCTGAACCCCGTAAAACCGTTGTAATGTGAAGTAAATGAACGCTTTATTTTACACTGCAGATTATAGTTGCACACATCACAGCTCAGTTCGTAGGTCTTGATTTAAGATAGTCGATAGCGTTGATTTTCCCATCTCGTTTTCCTCTCCACTGACTGACGCCTTCCGCTGTCTCTCCCCCGCTCAGAACGAGGACGAGTACTGCATGCTGCTGGCGGTGCCGGCGATCCCCGAGGGCGGCGGCCAGGCCGAGGAGCTGGCGCAGCGCTCCACCCTGCGGACGGCCTTCATCACGTACCTGCAGCTCAAACAGGCAGCCGGCATCATCAACATCGACGGACCGCAGGTCAGAGCCGACGGCAGAGACAGAACGGCGAAACAGGGCGTGTCGGTGGAATTCGGGAGAATGATGGGGCTGTAATAGATTTACATGATAAGACCCGTGTATTTTTTGTCTAGATAGATTATGGAGAAAAGTTTTATGTTTTTTTTTTTGCGCCGTTATTGATAGTACGCTTTGGTGACTTTGTTTGTGTTGTAGGGTCTCAGTAGTTAGTTCGTTATGCTGCATCTCACGTCTCTTAACTCTTCCTGCCGCCCCCATCGCTCCCCGCTCTGACACCGTCCGTTTGCTCCGTCCACAGGGTAGCTACGTGGTGCACATTTTCCCGCCGTGCGACTTTGCCAACGAGAACATGGCTCGGATCGCGCCGGACCTACTGAGCGCCGTGGCCGAGGTGCCGCACCTGGTCATTGTGATCGCCACCTGCTGACGGGGCGGCCAGCCGCTCGCGCTGCCCGCCGCCGCCCTACGCTTAATCGGAGAGGACCGCGCGCGGCCGTATGTTGTTACATGTGTAGATTGTTATTAGTAGTGGAATCATGGCTTGGATTGATTTGTCCCTGTCGTTCTGTCTGTGTCGGATATATCTCGCCATGTACAAATCTGGCGACACTAGTTGCCGTGTATATAGTGTACATAGATGTATATAGATATATCTCATCATCACACACACACACCACACACCAACACACAGACACACCCCTTTTTACGCTTTTGATTGACTTGGACTTGCGGCAGTTCACCGGTTTGTCTAGATCCAACTTTTAGGATCGTGTGTTGGGTGGCGCTCGCGCTCGCGCGCTCGCTCGCTCGCTGGGGTGTTGTTTGTCGCGACGGGCCGCCATGACTGCGGCCGACAGGCGGACCGCGCGCGCTCGCCGGAATTCGTGTCTCCAGTATTTTAGCTGACTATATCCAAGAGATCATTCTCTTTCAAAGTTGGAAGCCACTTAGGCGTTCGTTCGTTGGTTTGCCGTTAAATTGTCCTCCTGCGCGCTCAGTGCGGGCGCCGCCGGCTGGTCCGATTTAGACGTTTTTCCGTTCATTTTGGGCAAACTTACCATTCGGAAAGCGCGGCCTGAGTATAAACGTAGTTGTTGGCAGTGGAGTTTGCTCAATACCTGTGCTAAAATATTATATTTTCGATTCCCTAGTGTGTAAAGTGAGCCGTATATTTTTCTGTTGTAGGATCATGATCGACTGTCGGGCGCTCGCGCGCAGCCGGCCGGCCCGGCGCCGCGGCGGGCGTCGCCACATTGCCGCCGCGGTGCCGGGCGACCGCCGCGCCGGCGCCGCCCGAGAGCTAACCGTTAGATGTCCGTGTGTGGCCGAGGCTGTGATCAGAGTAAAACGCCTGATTGTAATGTCTACAGAACGTTAAGTTATTTGATCATGGAAAATAAAATAAAAATATCAAAAATATCTGCCTGTTTGTTGATGTGGACACTGGAAGCGGCTTGGTTGGGGATGTGGGCGGTGGGAGACCAAAAGGGTGTGGCTGCGGGTGAGAAAACGAGGGCGGTTTGGACGAGAATCAAGAGATGAGTATGAGGCGAATGACAAGCAAGGTTATTTATCGATGCCTGCAGTGTAGACGTACAGTCTGTCTTAAAAGTACCGCGCAAAGTGACGGTGGATCCATCAACCCTGACCGAGGAAGGACCTGCTATAATTTGAAAGTCACCGAACCAATTGACCTGGGGAATGGACGAGGATATCCATTGTTTGTTTCGGTGACTCAAATCTAGCAGTCCTTCCTCGGTCAGGCTTGATGGATATTCGATCCACTGTTACTTTGCGACAGACTGTACGTGCACTTCGCTAGATAAGCAATTTTTCAATCGACTAATGGCAAGCTCACCATCTTGTTTATAGAAAAATAGGCAGGTATATGGAAAAGTTAGTTATGTTGCATATAATTGGAAAACTATTAGCAGTAGACCTTGTAGAGTTCAGTGGCAGCAGATTAGGGCCAATGCCATAGGCAGTTAATGGCGCAGTAAAGACGGGCAGCAGCATATTCGTGAACCTGTTGTGTGAACACAAATCAGTGAAAGTAGTCGCCAGTTTCCATAGCAACTGAACCATCGACCAATAGAAGCTGAGAAAAGAGAATTTTGCTCCGGAAAACTTCAACGATGACAGCAAAAAAGCAAATCTTTGAACATGATTTCTAAATATTGCAGCGGGTTTGTGTTTCATGCGTTGTGGTTTAGGACCAGTTATTGTTGTTTCCCGAGCCTTTTGTAGGTATTCGGCGAGTGACGGTGCAACGAGTAAATAAGATATTTGGTATGTTAGGTGTATCATTCCGGTGACGCCAGGGTTACCGATACCGGCTACATCAACATTGCGACTGCAAAATGCCTATCCCGTTGGTGCTTCCAATTTCGCCTTCCTGACCAATGCACGATAGGACCGCGGCCGGAATTAGCGCGACATTGGTGGATTTGGCGACCATTCCCAAATTGAGTTAAACTGTGTCACGTAGTTCAGAAATGTCCATGGACCACGAATCTGCAAATATTTTTCGTCCATAGTGTACAGCGTCCGCGCCACATCAGCCCAAACACAAAGTTTTGTGCCAAGCATCGTAGACCCGTTTTCGTACGGAGAAAAATAACAGCTAATGTATGCAAAAAATATGTATATTAGACGGCTTTATCAATATTTTAGACGTCTTACCTGATAGTTTAGACCATGGGCTACACGATGGAAGAAAAAACTCATAGCGGAATATATAAATACGCTTCAAATGTTAAGTTTTTTTGGTGCTTTTAAAATTGTGAGTTAATTTTTCTGTTATATATATTCTGGAATGCCGATGTAAAAAGTCCCGCTAGGTCCCGCTGTTCTTTTATCAATATGGTGTTTACCAATCAATTGCCTTTCAGAAAATGTATAATTTAGCTGCGTCAGCCTGCGGCAGCGAAAATGAGGGGCATTTTTTTTTACTCCAGGTCGCCGCGGCCGGGAGCCGCGAGTAACAGAACCTCAGGAATCGAACAAGGTTGCCAAGTACCAACTATATTAAAGTTTTGTCCGGACATATCCGTACCTTCTATCGGAGTTTCTGATACACTTTTCTGACCCGTAATTAATTTGTTATATAGTCATGTAGGCCATCAGATTCCCATCTTCACGGTTTTGGTGGCTACATTATTTGCTTATCGGAATTTCCGGTGCCGTCATGACCTGGCCTGACACTCTGACAGGTGCTGCCGTCTTATCACGTGACCGAGCCGAGTCGAGGTCAGGGCAGGTCAACCGATTAATTAATCAATTAATTAATGAATTAATTAATGATTAATTAATTAAATTTATCAAAAATTGCTTAGAAAGTACTCCGACTACCATTTTTAGGATTCTACCATCCTTTTCATGTGAAAAGCGGGCACGAAATACGAAAAAGTACCGATGTCGCGCTAATTTTCGCTCCGGTCCCATTGTGCAATGGGTAAATGTCAAGTTTAAGTCCTAAGAAGAGTTCATTGATAAATTTTTCATATTTTTACATTATTTGACATCCTGAATCCAAAAATGATGCTCATGTCTCGCAAATAAAAGAAAAAAACATAATCAAACCTGACCTAACCTTACCTACTTACCTATAACCTACCAACCTACAACCTACAAACCTACCCTAACCTAACCTAACCTACAAACCTACCTACCTACAACCTAAAACCTACAAACCTACAACCTAACCTAACCTAAAACCTAAAATTTTTGCTGTTTTATATTCGTATCAACAGCGCCACAATTGTAGTTAGGACCTAAACTTGACATATACCGGGTTAAGTCTATTTTATGGTTGATCTGATGGGTGCTCAACTAATATATTTTGCTTATTTTTTACTAAAAAAATATTTGGCTCCTAATTATGATTAAAGCCTCACGCTTGCTGAGATGAGATTGCATGACCTCTGCGTTATGATGTTGGTGTCCTAACCACTGCGCTGGTGATTTCCTTCCCTTTACTGTTGCAGCGGGTCAGCAGCTGGTGGCTGAGAGGCTGCAGAATTATGGGAGCTTGTAACACATTCTTAAGTGAAGGATAACAGTGATAAGCTTATTGAAAAAGAACCCATTGATAATTCACAGAAAGATGTCTCCACTATTTGATGGTGCATACATATAGTTTGAAAATAGCTCTGGTAGACTTAATTCTACAGCACTTCAAAAACTCTTCAATCATGGGCTGCCGTCATGATCAGGTAGACTGGTCAGATGGTACTGCCTGGTATATACTATATATAGGGCATTTGCAAAGCAGTAAAACAGCATTGACATTTGCAAAGCAGTAAAACAGCATTGACATTTGACAAGCTGTCTTATGCTGTCTTTGTTATGTTTATGCTGTCTGAGGTTTTGTCACCCAATTTTTTCAGTTTATGTTCTTGGATGCCTACCAATCTAGGCCTAGATTGGTCTCAATCTAGGTCTAGGCCGGGTGACTTAACTTTACTCCTCATCCATACATTTAGGATATGGCCCTGCTCCTACCTACCTACCTACATCCTACCCTGTCCCTATACCTGGTTGTTTGGAAATGGTGCGAGTCATAGCTATCACTTGGTGTAATAGCTTCCACTGGCGGATCCAGACTTGCGTTTTGGGGGGGGCCAACTCCTGCAAGTAACCAAACCTAGGGTACCCCCAAATCCTGTTTTCTCATCGGATTTAGGCCACTTATTTTTTCGTCACAGCCCTGAAGCGATATTTTTTTTTAACTAAAAATAAAAAAATAGAAATGGTAGCCCACCCAACCCGAGCCTAAATATTACTTTGAAAACACTTCAAATTGCTTTTGTCGACCAATTAGCCCGCTCCGGGTCGGTGCGTGGCGCAGCCTTCGCGGGCTGGGAGGTGTCGGTTGGACCCCCTGCCGTTCGGCCCCTGATTAAGCTAGAGCTCGCGGGAAAAAAAAGGCGTGTTGCCCGTGAGTGACGAGACGAATCCGATGATACCCGATTTTAAGGTCCTTGGTCATTGGTTGACCTTCCAGGGCGGTGTTTCACGGTCGTGCTGACAGCCGCTGACAGCGCATTCCGCGAGCTAAGGTCAGCCTTCGGTAGTGTTGTGGGTATACGCTTGTTGATGTCTCCATTGAAACCAAAAGTGCCATCAGCGCTGGCAGCGGCTGGCAGCGTGCCGTGAAACACCGCCCAGGTCAGGTCACAGACCCAAAAGACGGGAAAATCAGGACCTGTCAGAACCTCCTAAAGTAAGGCTGTAATACGTTTTTTTTGTGCTGATCACAAATTTCATGTTAGTTTGGATCATAGATAGGTTCTTCATGCGTTTAGACCATGTCGGGGCAGGTCAGGTCAGATCAACCAGTAGGAGTACTTATGGGCGTCCGTATAGCAGGTGTCCACTACCACTGGCAGCTACGTAACATGATACGAAGGCATCAAAACTACTTCGTAAATGTTCAAATGGCTGCAAAATGCTAAATTCAAAATCAGCTAAACGAAACTATCCTAGAAACATGTTAAACTCGGAAAAGTGCACCGAGGTCATCAAAGGTCAATGACCTGACTTGACCGTAAGGTGACATTGGCATCCGCCCTAATGCGTGGGAGCAACATCATATCACATGTTTGAGCGTTTTAAACCACGAAAAGACTATAAAAGCGCGGATAATGTGAGCCGACATACGCCGAATCGCTATTCCGGCCAAACATGGCCTCCAACATGGCCAAACAGTCTCGAGAAATAGGCCACAAGTCAAAGTTCACTTGGGTCAGGGTCATGAAATTTTCAGACTTTGTCACCATGAGGGTACTAAAATTTCGTCGCGATCGGCTTCATGATACCTTACACGATAACTTCACACGTCGATCGAGAGTTAAAGCATGGATGAAGGAGAACCAGGGGATGAAGGTTCTTTCATCCATGGTTAAAGTGTGCAATAAGAACTTCTTGGGTGAAGACAAGACCAACACTTTTATCAAGCTCACAGATTTTTAATGATACGGTATTTTCTCTCTACCTACTACGCCCTTCTCACATTCATTTTTCTTAAGTGTTTTTGGGGACAAAAAATATATGTTGTTCCCCTTTCAGGCTTGGGGGCATGACCCCGTGGCCCCCCTGGATCCGCTAGGCCGAAACTAACTAGGTCGTTTTCAAACGGTCTGATATTTCAGGTCATAGTTTGCAAACGGCCGGTGTTTTCAGGTAGTTTCATATGGCCTGACTGGGCCAGGCCGTTTGCAAACAGACCGAATTTTCATACGGCCTGTAACATATATTCAGATTTCGACATCTGTCGTAGCATCAAATGCTGATGTGGCGCACTCAAAAGCCGGAATTGGTCCTTGGATGCCGTAAGGACCCTTTTAAGAAATAAGTGACCCGACTGACCCTTAGAGATTGGCCTGAGCTGTGACCGAAATAAGTCTTTTACCGTTTCGCAGTAAGGGACAAAAAGGTCCCTCATATGCTTCTTGTACAATTACGAAACAAAACAAGTTTTTTTTTTTCAACGAAAACTCAGTGAGTTTTCCTAAAAAAAATTTATTGTGCATATTCCGTGAATGAAAAGTTGCCGGGTCATGTCAGGTCAGGCTGCCACAGCAAGTTTGTTAACTTGACAGCTCAATCGATATTTATGCAATAAGACCTTCTCGGGTGACGATAAGACATGACGACACTTTATGAAGGAAGCTAGTAAACCCGGTAGTTTCTCCATAGGCGCGGGAACCGGGGGGAGGGGGCAGTGGTGGCAGCTTGCCCCCCCCCCCCCCAACTCTGGGGCCGTGCGGGCGGTGCCCCCACAACTTTCAGACAGAATACCGCTCCTTTTTGCAAATGTTTTCTTTTGTTGTTGAAAAAGCCAAGGGATGAAAAATAAGTGGCCTAAAACCGGCGAGAAAACTATATTTGGGGGATCCTAGGTTGATCTCTATCATGGTGTGACCTACCCCCCCCCCCCCCCCCGTCTAAAAGTAGTTCCCGCGCCCCTGGGTTTCTCTACGCTATTGAATCACGCTGCTGATTCTAGTAAGTATCTACTACACAACCTTCTCACATTAATTTTTCTTCGAGCGTTTTGGGGGGCCAAAAGATATGTTGGCCCCCTCTTTCAGGCTTTTTGGGCCCATGGCCCCGGTGGCCCCCTTGAATCCGCCAGTGGGGGCGGTGCCCCCACAACTTTCAAACGGAATACCGTCCTTTTTTGCAACTGTTTCTTTTTTTGTTGAAAAAGCCAAGGGATGAAAAATAAGTGGCCTAAAACCGGTGAGAAAACTAGATTTGGGGGGACCCTAGGTTGATCTCTATTATGGTGTGCTCCCCCAGTCTGAAAGTAGTTCCCGCGCCCCTGACTTTCTCTACGCTATTGAATGACGCTGCTGATTCTAGTAGGTATCTACTACGCAACCTTCTCACATTAATTTTTCTCCAAGCGTTTTGGGGGGGGGCAAAAGATATGTTGGCCCCCCCCTTTCAGGCTTTTGGGGGGGGCCATGGCCCCGGTGGCCCCCCCCTGGATCCGCCAGTGATAGCTTCTATGGAGGTCTTTGGCCAATCATGATTTAGTATTCAGTCACTAGATTATTTCTGATTCGTGGTTGTTGATACATGTGCAGTTTATGAGCCACTCCCCAAAACCAGTGCACCTCACATTTGGCAATGCTTTGCATTCACGACTCCAGGGTTTGATTATGATAACTGGCAATTTTTTCATGAAGCATATCGAAATGTAACCAGTTCACGATATCTGTGTCATTTTATTCATTTTCAGGGTTAAGCTGTTTGTGAACTGATACTGCAACAGATGTCAGCTATGCCAGGTATGAATGGATTGTTAGCTGAATACTCTACTTGTTTTTATCACAAGTAGAACTAAGTGAACTAAGTGAAAGAAATTTGTATCTTTTCTCTCACTATGCTTTCTTACAAACAATTTAATGGCTTTAAAATATGCATGCTATACTGTGAGGTTTTGTGCCATACAGGTTGGACAGGGCTAATGTAGAAGGATTGAAGTGGCTTAGTTATTGGGAGCGACTATTGCAGATGTGGAGTAATTAATAATTATTGAAGCATTTTTCTCAGTGGATGTCTGGTAGCCGATTGATGTTAGAGTTGAAATAGTGTACTCACAGAGTTAACAACTTGTGTGACTGAAGCAAGTTTTATTATGCCAGGATGAAATGTCATGAAATTGATTAATTTCCCTATCACCTTTTCAGATCAACAAGAAGTCCTGAGCACTTCCAGTGAGGAGGAAATGGGTAAGGCCACTTAGACTGTTAGTTGCTGTAGAAATTCAGCTCAATTAAGTGAATTAAATGTAAATAATTTGAGCTGCAGCTGCTGAGAAATCCTACGGCAGATGTGTGAGGCATTAGTTCAAAAGTCATGCCTTGAGTTAAATTGCAGGAGGATGTTTAAAGCCTTTCTTTCCGTTAACGATCCTGCCTTGTGATTTCTTACCGACCCTTTCAAACATTTTAGGCGTTAAATTTTTGTCAGACGTTTAAGAGGTCTTATGCTTGTTTCTTTACCTGAGTCTCCCATCATCGTTTCAGACCTCAACAACAAGGAGGAGGAGGGAGAGATGGGCGACATGAAAACAATGACCTTCGAGCCCGACATTCTGGTGAGTAGGCGCTGTGCGAGGCATTGAGGGCGGCTAGACTTTATCAGAGCTGGCTTAAGTTACTCTCGTTTCGATTGTTTTTAGTTATTTGTAGGTACACGGGTGTTGTGTTATGTGCAGTGAGTGCAATGAGATGCACTACAAAGTAGTCTACGCTCCACTTAATTTATTTCCTGCACATTGCTTTGAGCCCCGATTCGCCCCGCCTCCGATGTCTACCATCTATTACCTACAGTCATGAACATTTCCGTGTGGGTAATATTTCCCGTTTCGAACTAGCACTTTTTCAACAAATATTTGTATGAATGTATGTAGACGGCCGCTCTCACGCCGCATCTGCCGCCGTTTGGACAGGACATCGACCTGAACCACCAGCGTATCCAGAAGATTGAGAACCTGGAGGGCTGCGTGCAGCTGGAGACGCTCTGCCTGCGCTGGAACCTGCTCACCCAGATCGAGGGTCTGAGCTCGCTGGTAACGCTGACCGAGCTCGACCTGTACGACAACCAGCTGACCAAGATCGAGGGCCTCGAGACGCTCGTCAACCTCACGTATGGTGACGTCTGGCGGGGGGGGGGGGGGTCACATTTATTTGTTTGCTACGTGTTAAGTCACAGTGTGTTGTGCTGTACCAGTGGAGCTCACTTGGAAAATGTGTCGCTAGTGTGTGTACCTTTACCTACTAAAGACGTATAAAGTATTGCATGAAATACATTCCATAGCTATCAGAATCGAAGGGGCTTGCGATATCAATCTAGCGAGCTTCAATGGTAATTTTTTGCCCACTAGCCGTCATTTGGGCACAACATTCACACACGATTTTTGTATTCTGCAGTGAATTGGACCTGTCCGTGAACCGGTTCACTGTCATCGAGAACATCTCTCACCTGAAGAAGCTGAAGAAGCTGTTCCTCTGCATGAACAAGATCTCGGTCATTCAGAACCTGGAGGGCCTCGAGTCGCTAGAGATGCTGGAGCTGGGTGACAACAGGATTCGGGTCAGTTAGCGTGGCGCTTACTTCGTCAGTGTGTCAGTGCTCAGTACTCAGTTCGATTTTTAGATGTTTGTTCGTTTTTCCTGCTGTTGTTGGTTTTAGTTTGCTGGAGTATTGATTGAGTTGTTGATTTTAGTCGCCGTTTCAAACTACATCAGTGTGCATAGCTCTAGTATTGGTTGCTTAGGTACTGTATAGACATTACGCCGTTAACGCGATCATCAATCGTCACTTGTTCCCTTCTGTCTTTTTTACAGAAAATCAACAACCTTGGTTCGCTTACTACACTGACCAGCCTGTACCTGGGCAAGAACAAAATAAACAAGATTGAGAACCTGGATAACCTTGTCAACCTTCGTATCCTCAGTCTTCAGGTGATGTGATGGTGATGTTCAGCTAGTAGGTATTCTGACCCGAGTACTGAGCCGAGTTCATTTGCGGCGTTTCCATTTGTGGCGTTCACTTAACCAGCTGTTTTGTTATTCGGTAATTCGGTCACGTAGGGCAATAGTTATGGACTGCACTTTGTGGTTATTGTTTTGTGTAGTTGTGGCAGTACATCTTTGACACGTTTCCTAAGCGTTATCTTTCAAATCCTGCTTATCGTTTTTTATCACTATCCACTTTGTAAGCCTTTGCTGTCGTTTCTCCTCAGAATCCCGCGTTCCACCTCACAATAACTCTTCCTTTCCGTTCCATTTCCAGAGTGACCGTATCACAGTAATCGAGGGTCTGGATAGCCTGACCAAGCTGGAGCAGCTGTACCTCTCCTCGAACGGCATCAGCCAGATCGCCGGCCTGGAGCACAACACGCAGCTGAACACGCTCGATCTGGCCTCTAATCGGATAGCCAAGATCGAGAACGTGTCCCACCTCACCGAGCTGGAGGAGTTCTGGGTAGGTGACGTCCTACGGGGGAAGACAGGGTAACGTTTGATGAGCGCTATTTTAGGACATATTTTTAGATAGTTTATGTGTTCGTCTTTTTACAACTTGTATTGACGAGAGGGCAGAAAAGCCATGTTTTATGGAGCTCTTAATAAACCTGACTATGGCTATGACTATGACTATGACTCCGGGGCGGTGATCAGGGAGAGATGGATGATGGAATGGGAAAAGCTGTCGGACTGAGATCGTACAACCATCATAGGTCAGATTTGAGAACGAGGTAATTTATAAACAACATTTTTTCGTTGAAGTGCCTATGTTGATCTTGAAATAGATATCGGTCTCTGTTTTATCATCCACGAACGCTGCGATCTCCTGTAACCTCTCCGCTCTGTCCCGCAGTGTAACGACAACCAGATCTCGGACTGGAAGGACGTGGATCAGCTGGCGGCCGCCACCCAGCTGCAGACTGTCTACCTGGAGCGAAACCCGCTGGCCAACGACGTCAACTACCGGCGCAAGCTGAAGCTGGCGCTGCCCTCGCTGACGCAGATCGACGCCACGCTGACGCGATAGTGCGTGCCGGCCGCCCATTGGCTGCCGCCTAGGTCACCCACGCCGGTCAGTCTCATAAAGGGCTGCGACGAATCTACGCCACAGCGTCGGGCCGGGGTGGGCAGGAGGCTAGATTTGTGGCGTATTCGCGGACAGTAATTCAAAAGAGTGTGAAAGAGCAGCTCATGTCCGAGTAGCACTTTCGTTTCCATTTCTGGTTTCATTTCCGTGCGTAAACTGCATGGTGTACTTCCACCGTATGGCGCGGGTCAGCACAGTCTTCGTCAGGAACAGTGGCATTTCCACGCTAGGCTTGAAAAGAAGGCGATTCATCGAGTGGAAGAGATTAAAGTGTGTTTGCATATTAGCCGGCAGATGAGAGACCCCTCCAGATTCTTCCCAAACCTTGCTAAGAGCATTATAGAGTACGTGCCTGCTGGCTGCTATGATTTTGTGACAGTTTATTGAATGGAAACCCGCTTTGTTAGCCGAATTTATTGCGGATGCAAGTGCCTCAGGCGGCATAGGATTCATTTGTGTGAGAGAGTGCGTAAGGTATGTATGAAGAGCAGCATTTGACTCGGGTCCGTCGGAGACACCCGCCTCCGTCGTTACGCGGCGGCCCTGCCGAGAGGACCGTCCCATTCCCGCCTCGATTCGGGTCTCGTTGACACATGCAGCGCCGTGGCGCACCTCCAAAGCGTGAGTGTCCGGTTCGCTTCGTCCGCTCTGATTGATGCCGCTTTGAGTGAGATGTCTTTCGTGTTAGGGTCTGTCAGTTGCTAATGCTGTATTACTCTGCTGTCAGTGATTATTTTTTAACATAATGCCGCAGGTTTAGTGGAGGTTGTCGTAAAGTTAGCACCAGTGTCGGTCTTTTGAGTTCGTCTCGTTTCAGTATAGGCGATGCGACAGGTCGCGAATCGTTGAACTAAATGAAAATGGTCGAAAATGTAGGCAATACATGCTTGATGGATACATCGAACAATTTCATGTCGACCCTCATTCAACAGGATCGGCGTGGGTACGAAATCTACGATCTTATATGTATTAACAGCGCATTGGCAGTTGGCACCAACGTTCACAACATGACACTTGAACAAGACATGGCACAAGCGATCATCCTGGCGACTGCTGCCGCCAGCACCAACAATGGCGGGACCTGCAGTCGCTGTGGGAACCCGGTTCGGCTTCGCGCGAGTCTAGGACCAGCTCGGTCCTGACTGAACTGAACTAGCGACACTTGGTGGGCTTCTCAGTCGTTGGGTGCTTGTTTCGAACTACCGCAGAATTCGCGGCATGGCCCGAGTAGATGCCCGTTCCCTTTAATGGCGCATTTTATTAACCGACTGTCGTCGCGATTTCAGTTGTCGCTTGCGATCGTGGTTCTCGGCTCCCGGGAAAACGTGGAGCTGTGGTCGTCCATCGGTGGTCGCTCTTCTCAGGGACGTCGATGAAGTCGCATCTGTCGGCTGCGCCGTGGTCGCGTCCCATACAGGCACCCTTTGATGGCCGGTTCCACCATCGCCAGCTGTGTGCCTCTGTTCTCCGTCGGCCACGACCTGGACGATTTAGCGACGCGGCGGCTCACGCCAGAGCTCCTGCGTGTCGTGACTCCTCTGCTTCAAGTCATTTGGTCGTCCGCTCCTGTCCTCTTATTTTGGGACCTTGTTCACTGTCTTCCGTATCCATTTCTCTTTGTTGTTAAGCGCATGCTTTCCTGATGTTTCCTTGTCACAGTCCATAAAATCACCGTCAGTCTCTTCACTGATGGTATCATATCTCAGTTCCCACACGATACTTTTCCTCGCCATGGCCTGTCGCATCACTGTGGTCCGTGGCGATCTCAGCGCCACCTATACACGTTTCCAGCGCCACCTATACACCTCATCGTCCCAACATGGCGCCGGAGAACTGGCTCTCGCGGACGGCCACCAGCCGAGTCCGGGTGGCGTTGTCGATGTGTATCGAGACGTACTGACCGCGCCGCAGCTCCAGCACGCCGTGAATGCTGGCGGTGAACAGGTTGGCCGACGGCTCCACGCTGGACAGGTACTGCAGCGACCTGCCGAGCACAGAGGGAGGGAGCGGGTCAGTGAGGTAGGGAGTCATTGGAAATTGGAAAGTAGAAAGACGGGTATGGGTTCTGTGACATACAATTTGGTATAGGAAAGGATTGTTGGTTGAGAGTGGTGGGATATTATTGTTCCCACCACTCTCCTGGTTCCTGATTTTATGGAGGCATAAGAAGAGAGTGCAGGTTCTGTGTTTCGCTGTAATGACAGCGATAACGCATAGCTGGGGTTACCTACGTCTTCACTATATCTCAGCAATTATGTTGGCTGGCCTGCTAAGTTGATTTATTGTGTGCCACGCTGGCTCGGTTCAATTGCCAATTCGGGCTCCACCCCTACCATCCCACCCCAGCTTGAGAGCGTCAGTATTGCCAGCGTCCACCTGCACCATTCACTCACGTGTTGCGTCTGCAGCGCGAGTCGATACATATGCTGACAGTCAGCGCCCGGTTCCGGCGCTGTTTGCCCGGTTTGGCCGCCGTGCGCCGGCGCGGGCCCTTGGTGGGCCGCTTTCGGAGGAAGATCTGCGCGGAAAGCTGGTAGACGCCGTCCTCCGGCGCCGAGAACCGGCCTGTCTCCAGGTCCAGGGCGGTGCCGCGCTGGAACGAGCCGTCCCCGAACGGCTGCGGGGGGGAGTCAGGTCAGGTCACTTGGGGTCTGGGGAGGTCATGAAAGGCCAGATGTGGAGGTCAAGACAGGTCAAATGGGGAGGTCATAGCAGGTCAGATGGGGAGGTCGACGGTATGTTCTAGTCATCTTTGGCGGTGGCTGGTGTTGGGGCAGTTTTCACGACCGATGTCGTGCATATATACCCATTACTCATGTGCTACCTTGCGAGGCCTGCTCATGAATCATCTCTGCTAGGAATTATTCTGACCTATCGGCTAACATCTCCATGTCTGTTTTGTGTCACATCAGCACAATTGTGCATGTTTCGAAGAAATGCTCGTGATTGGTTCATACTACCATTTGTATTTCTTTATTATTGAATATTTACATAAATACGTACCAGCTGGTATTTGCCGAGTTCCACGAACATTTTCGGCGGAATGGCCACCCGTTTGGCCAGCTGCACGTGAAAGGCGGTCTGCACCCGAGAGACGAGCGCCACCTCCTCGAGTTGAAACAGCGACGGCAGAGCCCTCCGGTGGCCGTCGTCGGAACTGTTACCGGCGGCGATCCAGCTGCTCAGGTGCTCCCCCGCCGCCTCTGAGGAAACAAACGGTCAAAGGAAGGCCCCGGTGAATACAAAACGTGGGCGAGCCATCGGCTCGTAAGACAATGGCAAGCAATGTCGGTTAGACTTCAAATGAAGCGCTTAAATTGTGCTGAGCGCTTAGCAGCTTAAAAAAATACTTCCTGGCTCTCTCCATTCTCCATCTCTCCATGCCCTGCTAATTTACCATCTTTCGGTGCTCTCCTCGCAGTCTGGCGAGCTGTCATCGACAATGTGACGTTTCGCGGCCTCACGTTCCCACTTCCCTTGCCCACTCCCCGCGCTGCTGACCTTGTATCATCTTCCTGAGCTCAGCCACCAGCCGCTCCTCGGTGACCACGGCTCCGGGCGGGCCGGGTGGACCCCGGGGTCCCGGCGGACCCCGGCGCACCGGGCTCGGCATGGGCAGCAGGCCCGTGCCGGCCCCGCCGCGGCGCCGCTTCTTCTTCTGTCTGCGCCGCTGCGCACGCCGCTCCGCCTCCTCCGTGTGACGGATAAAGGCTCGCCACGTGTCAGCCGGCGGCGGTAGCACTCTCGCCTGGAACGGGATAGAGGGGGGGTCAAAGGGGGCCACGTTTCAGCTGGGGGCGGCAGTACTCTCGCCTGGAGCGAAGAGAGAAAGAGGGGGTCAGAGAGGGGTCATGTGTCAGCCGGTGGCGGCAGTGCTCTCCGCTCGAGAGGGGAGAGGGATGCGAGGTGCCAACCCGGGGGAGGGGAGGGGAGGGGTAGCAATAACCACAGTGGTGAACACACACGACAGCGCAGACAGTGTCTACGTGACGCCTGTGAGCCACCAGACACTGTGGGACGTGGCTATTGTCAGTCAGCGGTCTTGTGCCTACATCCAGTGTCCCCCGACTGAAGCGTTGGAAATGGGTTTTTTCTCTGACCCTCTGTGTATTTGCCCACTAACCTGTCGTGGCGCCCAGGCGTCCTGTTGCCCCGTGGCTTCATTGTATAGCACATCGTCAATCACCTCGTTTTGTTCGATTACCAAAGAGGAGCGGCCCGGCGCCAGCCGATGGGTATTGATGACGTCATGAGTATGATATTTGTTTCACGGTTCTGTTGATGCAAATGTGGCTTCTTTTGGGTAGAGCACGACAGAGGAGCTCGAGTTAAAAATTTACCGTCATGAAATTGCGATTCACTATCATAAACAAGAAAATTGCTCCCGCCATCGGTTGCCGACTGGCTAACCAAATTAACTCGCGGAACTTTGTCTTTACAAACATTTGTTAGTCTCCGCTTGTGCAGATTAAACGTTGTAAATCTTCGAAGGTAGTTAATATTTTTTTTGTAATTTTCTGAACCTCACTTGGCTGAATATCTTTTCGTTTGCAATAGTCCAGACTCAGAGGGGTCTAGAAGGACAGCGCTCTCTATTCTCTATCTCTAGGAAGTAGGTATCACTGATATTCATCATCATGTATTCTTATGTTCGTCCACATTCGATGGCTTTTCGGAACAAGGAGAGATCATAATTGAAGAGCCATTTTAGCATTCACCTAACAGGACTGATCATTTTGCGTATTTTTCATACCACAGTCACAGTCACGCGCTGATAATTGATAACTAATGTCGCTCTAAAATGCTACGATGTAACATTTCTAGGTATACAGAGCTTTGTCATTTGGCGTCAATATGCAGATTGTCGTCGGTTTACATATACCTAGGCATATGAACTGCAAGTGCAGACGTCAATCGTCCCCTTCGTCAGTCCCCCTAGTGAAGGGGTAGGGGACACTCTGCCCACAGCACACTGTAGGGGAGGGGGGCTCTGCCCACAGGACACCCTTCAGGCGGTCCGCCACTGTAGGAGGGGGGGGGGAGCACAGGACACCCTGTAGGCGGTCCGCAGGGGAGGCGCTGTGCCCACAGGACACTGTAGGCGGTCTGCCACTGTATGGGGGGGCTCTGTCTACAGGACACCCTGTAGGCGGTCCGCAGGGGGGGGGGGGCGCTGTGCCCACAGGACACTGTAGACGGTCCGCCACTGTGTGGGGGGTCCTCTGCCCACAGGACACACTATATGCATGCGTTCCGCCACTGTCCTCCGGCCAAACACAGCGGGCGCCGCGCTGTCCTTGCCGTCTCCCCATTCACTCGCCCCCAGAATGGTCGCCCGCCGCCCGAGACGAGCTCAAAGGAGGCCTGTTGACCTCCGTCCAACACCTGGGGCGAACGGCCGCCCCCAGTGCCGGCACAAACAGTCGGTTATGCAACAGTTCGCCGCGCGCCGAGTGGGCGGCCAGTTCGGGTGCTTATATAATGAGGCAATAAACACGAGTAACTTCGCTTATTGGAAAAGGTCAGGTAGGTGCTTCGATGGCTTGGCCCAGAATGCAATGCGATGGCGACGCAGAAAGGTGAGCAGGCACGACACGGTTGGCAATTGACCATTCAACGTTCGCGCATTTGGCAGTTGTATCGACAGGTTATGCGTTATCGAGCAAATACGATTTCACATTTTTCTGGTGCGTAAGTGGAGGGGCAATTTAGTATTTCTTGCCCACGATCCTCCAATGCGCGTAATAACGATGTCAGGTAAACTTAGCGTTTACGGTTCTCATGGTGAGATTCTTGCTGGGCGTCCCTGGGTTTGTCGAACCATCGGCTAGTTTCGACGTTCACTCAGCCGTACACGGGGCGTTCCACGACAAATCGACAAGTGCCCTGCACCCTCATATTTTATTTTTTGCTTAAAATTGGTCTAATGGGTTGTGATGGGCGGGGAAGCCAGCTGTGACAAGGATTTTTTTCTTCGAACAACGGTTTCCGAGATATAGCCTCGGGCAATTCCTGGAGATCGCACTGCAGGCCTATGTTTGGCGGCCTATAACTAAAAAACTATTGGTTTTCTACGTTAAAAACTTTATATGGTTCAACTCACAATCAGACAACAAACATTTTGGCTATCTCGGATTTTCAATTTTTGAAAATTTTGATCACGTGACCTTTTGACCTATTTTTCGAAGAGTGACCTTGATATTTTCCCCACTGAAAGTTGCAATTTTGTCTGATGACGATTAAAGCCTTATCAATTGTCATTCATATGCGAAAATAAAAAAGTGGATATCGCCCTGCGTTGACCTCAGGTCAGGTCATTTTTATGACCTGTCCATTATTACGAGTGGGAGCGATAGCGAGATCTCGAGAATAAAGCAAGATAGCGACAAGCGGTAAACGGTGCAGGGTACACACGGATAAGGTCTATAATTTTTACTGAGGTCATTTTCCGGTCAGGTCAAAGATGACGTCACAGGAGCAAAAAGGAAGTCGAAATTGCGGCACTACATATATATGAAGTTTTTGTCGAATAACTTTCAAGGTATCCCAGCTAGGAACAAACTAAGGTCACGTGACCTAAGGTCAACTTTTGACCTTTCGACCTTTCGAGGTCAACATACATATCTTTCGATGCGGATCGACGAGAGGATCACGATGGTGCTATTAGTTTGTTCCTAGCTGGGATACCTTGAAAGTTATTCGAGAAAAACTTCATATATATGTAGTGCCGCAATTTCGACTTCCTTTTTGCTCCTGTGACGTCATCTTTGACCTGACCTGAAAATGACCTCAGTAAAAATTATAGACCTTATCCGTGTGTACCCTGCACCGTTTACCGCTTGTCGCTATCTTGCTTTATTCTCGAGATCTCGCTATCGCTCCCGCTCGTCACGTGACCTAAGGTCAGCTTTTGACCTTTCGACCTTTCGAGGTCAACGTACATATGTTTCGATGCGGATCGACGGAGAGGATCACGATGGTGCTATTGGTTTGTTCCTAGCTGGGATACCTTGAAAGTTATTCGAGAAAAACTTCATATATATGTAGTGCCGCAATTTTGACTTCCTTTTTGCTCCTGTGACGTCATCTTTGACCTGACCTGAAAATGACCTCAGTAAAAATTATAGACCTTATCCGTTCGTACCCTGCAACGTTTACCGCTTGTCGCTATCTTGCTTTATTCTCGAGATCTCACTGTCGCTCCCGCTCGTAATAATGGACAGGTCATAAAAATGACCTGACCTGAGGTCAACGCAGGGCGATATCCACTTTTTTTATTTTCGCATATGAATGACAATCGATAAGGCTTTAATCGTCATCAGACAAAATTGCAACTTTCAGTGGGGAAAATATCAAGGTCTCTCTTCGAAAAATAGGTCAAAAGGTCACGTGATCAAAATTTTCAAAAAATGAAAATCCGAGATAGCCAAAATGTTTGTTGTCTGATTGTGAGTTGAACCATATTAAGTTTTTATCGTAGAAAACCAATAGTTTTTTAGTTATAGGCCGCCAAACATAGGGCTGCAGCGCGACCTCCAGGAATTGCCCGAGGCTATATCTCGGAAACCGTTGTTCGGAGAAAAAAAAATCCTTGCCACAGCTGGCTTCCCCGCCCATCACAACCCCTTACACCAGTTTTCAACGAAAAATAAAATATGAGGGTGCAAATTTAATTTTTTATTTGTCGATTTGTCGTGGAACGCCCCACACCATGACTGCGATCAAAGGGCGCCTAAGGCCGCCGTCCACTGCGACGGAATTCCGTCCGGAGTCCGTCCGGAATGTCGCCGCACGCTGGCCGCATCCGGTCCGGATGCGGTCCGGATGCGGAGAGCTAATAAATGTTTCCTATCACTTATTACCAAATAAAATATTGCAAGTAACCAGCAGCGAATACTCTTGCCATTCTAAGGAAATAATTTTTCCTTACTTCATGATGATCGAGTTCCAATTCTTTGTACAATTCACAATGTTTGCCTCCGATACGGCCCCAAACCACGTCTGTTCCGGACGTTCCGGATGCGTTTTCCGCAGAAAAGTTCAACGCGTCGGACATCACTCTTCCGTCTCCGTAGCAACCGCATCCGGAACGCATGCGGAGAGCTGACGGAAAATCAACAGCTGATTGCCGTTCGGATGCGGTCCGGACGGAGCGCACACGATTTCCGTACGGACCGGATGCGCCCATAGGGTTCTGTGTTAAATTCCGTACGGACCGCACGCGTTCCGCACAGTGGACGGCGGCCTTAATAAGTCACTCTAAAGTTGGCCTCATTGAACAAACACCCACATAGTCACAGAAGCTCTCATGTCTGTGAACTATGTCTGCGAAAGAGTCATGGTTGCAACAACAAAGCGCATACCTAGGTATCATGAAACCGTCTCCTATGTCCACGTTGGTAAACAAATACTCCCTTCATTTGTGCCGCATTTAGTGTGCATCATTCAGATGGGCATCGCTCACGTCTCGTGCATGACCCCTCGTCACGAAGGTGTCAGACAGTGACATTAATCACACACACCCGACACCGGTCGTACAGCCGAACAAAGTGGACTATTGAGGCAACCAGTTCCCAATTGCTTACACACATAGCCGTTCAGTCAGTGGAGGGGGTTATTACAAGTTCCAGAAATGGCATTCGGAGTGCGTGAATGGACGTACGTGCGACATTCAATGAGTATTAGGTACCCGTTTATGTCATCGGGCTGTGCCTGGTCTTATGTAGCCGATCATTGTGCAGGTTTGAG